CCGTTTTTTTTTTTTAGCTCACCGAATCGTCGATTAGTCGTAGCCGGTATTGTTTCGGGGTAATCGTCCTGTGTTATTAAATGTTAATTAACCAACGGCCGAGGTCCAACAGTATTCATAAATTGTTAATAACGTCAACACATAGTCGATAATATTAATACGCACATGCACAGTGACCGGTCCAGAGGTGGAGTGGCGGGAACAGGTTAATTCGACCCCCCTCCCTCTCCTCAAAACGCCGCAGCACGATTTTACTTTTCCTTATATCGCGCAAAACACTGTACAATATAGTCGGGTAGGTACTCATAACTCATCTCGGGGCCTGCAGATGGCATATTGACATCGCGGTAGACGGTGCACGCAGGGCGCTTGTAATTGCAAAAACTTTTTATACAAATATTATTGGAGTCTGAAAACGTTATCGAAGTAGCCGAGTAAAAGTGTATTTTGATTTGTATTGAACTTTCGGTAAATATCGTCGACGTTCTCGCGTTTTGGGAAAATCGAATACAGGGAATGGGCTCGGGAACGGGGTTATATGCACTCTGAAACATTACATTAGGCACTATTTTTATTTTTTTCTACAACGCAAAATAGTTTCGCGCGTTTTAATTTATTACGTTACATACAGAGTGACTCGCGAAGCATACCCCATTGTGATATATCCCTGTAGATAATACATATAAACACGGTATGTATGTATTACTCATAGTCACGAGACTGCCAATATGCACATTTGAATTGCATTTGTATATTTTGGGTGAAAAAACATACAGGAGGGCACGGGCATCGCGTATTTTTCACTTAGAACGTCGCATTCGAAAACATTCAAACACGGACTAGACCATACCGAAATATTCGCGTACCAAACAACACCGACAATCGGTATTGAGCGATGGGCTGCGATATAATTCGAATGGCGATTACGTTTATACAATTATACACAATGCCTACGACGACGCGTTATCTTAACGATCTTGTCGCAAACGAAATGTCGGATGCGCGCACTGACCCGCACGCTCTCCCTGTTGCCCGGAGAGTGGCATGGCGGTAAGCCCAGTTTGGCACCGTAGAAGGCGACTAATGGGCAAAAGCACGAGCGAGCGCTCCGTGTAAGAGCCCGCCCGGAGCTCGGGGACCCCCGCCCCTCCCCCAATCCGGGAAGACCGACAGCGTAGGGCTACGGCCCGACGATGCTCCTGGTCGAGCGTCCCACCAGCGACGCTAAAGCTGGTACCGCGGGACGGCGGGAGCCCGCGCTGCCTCGGGCGATCGGGGTGGCGGCCCGTCACGGCGGCCGGTTTCCGGTCTTCGGTCGGATTTCGGCCGACGGCGGAATGGTTTCGCGGTGGCTGTCACTGGAGTGACTATGCGATTATGGGTCGTGCTGACTCGAGGAAAGCTCTACGTCGAACGGCCTCGCAAGCAGCCTCGGCTGTGAACCGGGGTATCTCGCCAGTGCCTGCTTAGTCTATCGGCGGTCCAACGCCACACCGAAGGTTGTCCGTGACCGAAAACGGACGAAGCGGTGACGTAGGCTGTGGCCGTACCGACGACGGGGGATGGGCGGCGTTCGGTCCTAACCCATTGGTGCGCGGGGCTCCGTTGTTTCGGGGTTCCGCGGTGCTCGGCGGTCCTTAGAACGACACGGGAGAACGCCGCACCGGCTCGCCGTTCCGGAAACTCTCGAACCGCCGTTCGCCGTTCATTTGTTGATTTTCAAGTTATTCGATAGGACGAGGAATAATTTTTTCAAGCTTATGTTTGCAGGTTAGCCCCGGAAACCATCAGCTGACGAGCCGATGGGCCGGCAAAATATGTTTTCAGTACTCGATTCAGGACCCGCGCCGCCACTGCACGTAGACGCCCTCAGGATACAATAGTAAAGAATGCTATATTTTCGTATTTCAATATTTTCAATACAATATATCGGTTTCTTCAACACGCACAAAGAAGGTGAAAATACTGCTCGATAATTCCGATTACAATACGGGAAATTACCGTGTCTGGGATTCCCGGAAAGTTTATGTTTCGATTATGATACACGGGTACAACGTAGTTGGATTTCGTTTATAAAACGCCGTGCGATATGCGCCGCGAGAATAATTCAATTGTAGTACTGATATCAGCGGATGTTCAAATCAAATACCAAGCGAACACAATTGATATCGCCGGATGTTCAAATTAAATACCAGGCGAACACGATGCACAATACGAAATATAGTAACTCGCGGGTTTCTCGGGGAACACGATCGCCCGAAGTCAGTGCATTCGCGAGACTACGAGCGGATCGATTGGGGAGGTATTTGTTACCGGTGGATGGACCCGCGGTTATCGAATCCACGGATTATTCCTGTCAGGTGTTCGTTTAACACGCGTAAACTATAAATTTGAATTCGGAACAAAAACGAAAAAAAAAAAAACCCGGAAAATACCTCTGCGTCGCAATAAAGGTTTCGGTTCTAGAAAAAAAAAAAAAATTATAAATACTTCCGGTCTTGGGATTTTCAAAAAGTTTCGGTCTCTTAGGGTTCCAGTCTCCGGTTCGCCGGGCGCGGCGACGAACCTCCTCGAACACACGACAGGCACCGCTTTCGAATTGTTGCGCGCCAACAGTCGTGGCAACAGTCGACCGCGGTTGCAATCACCGTGCGGTTCGTTCCAACATCACAAACGGCCGGACCCCGGCGGAGGCGGCCATCGGCAGCGGTCGCATTCGACGTTTCATCGACGACGTTATGTAACGTTGTGTGCGGTCCAAAAACGCATTAACAGAAAAAAAAAACAAAAAAAAAACCAAGTCGCCAAATCGCAGTATGAATCCCTCGAACGACGCCCCCGGCCGCAATATTAACGGTCTGAATTAATTTAAAAGTTTAAAAGGGTAAAACGCGATATTCTGGTACTCGTAAATGAAAATAATAAAACGACAAAACAACCCAGAGCTTCGTTATTACTTTCAATTCTACAATCCAATTCTCAATGTAAAACCGTATATGATGTTATGTCAGTTGTGCGCATTCCAGACAATAAACAGACGCCACTTCAAGTGTTTGAAACGCGAACGGCAATATTTCCCGAACGTATTTAATCGTCCCGCGTTATGACGGAAGAAATAAAAACAGTTATTTCGAGTGAGAAAGGCCAACAAAAATAATGCGTATAATTAATTATGGTTACAGTATATAATTAATTTCATTAACCGTTTAAAAATGATGTTGAACGACGGACATGTGTCTAGAAAAATTAAAAGTAATTTTTAACGATCCGGAATCTGAAAATCCATTAAATGGGCAGGCATTGGGTATTGCATTAAATAGAAAATCTCCGATTTTCAAGTTTAGCATCTTTTCTGAAAGAAAATCGATGTGGGAAGGTACTTTAGGGTAGTCATTTTTCGATTTTTTCATTAAATGAGGAAAACAAAAAAAATACTGATCGGGGGAGAGTAAACAAGAAAAACGCCACGTGTTGTGCCGCTATACAAATTATGTACCCCTATACTTTCCCCTAGCCGAAACTTAACAGTATAATATCTCGTCAATAGGTAAACGGAAATTAAAAATTACAGTCCAAAAATTAATTTCAACTAATACTCTATGCCCTATGCGTTTATGGAATTTTTAATATAGGCTGCCATGAAAAAATCCAAAGCAGGTAGTGGTTTCATCTCTTGAAATAAGGGTGACAAAAATAACGATAATATGTTATTTTAGAATTGCTTATTTTGTATTCTTGACAAACATGTATAAAACTAGTTTAACTTTTGGATTATGAAAATGTAGTATTACCATAATTTATAGGTATGTAGTTTCCTTCAATTGTAAAGATTACAAATTACTTTACTGCAAAATCTAAAAAAACACTAGTACTCTCAATAAAATATAGGCGTAAAATTGACGCCCTAGGCGACTGCCTGCTTTGTCTAACGCTAAATCCACCACTGCCTCCATGGCCAAGGTATGAACACGACCCTGTACTTATACCATACTATATACATTGAATAATTGTTGTTTTATATTTTTCTTTAATGACACAATAGCTCCAGAAACACCAATTGTAAATTTGCGTTCGTTCTTTGAAACACGTGAAAGCGTGTTTCCTTTCAGAAAAAATGTTACCGTTATAAATCGGAGAAAAATTGCTGGTATAAAATTTGTTCACAGGAAAAAAGAAGGCCATAATATCTTTAACTAATAGCTACATTTCGTACATTTTCCAGTTTTTTCCCAGTCTTTTTACATTTAATGAGAAAACTCTTGAGAAAATCAAAAAATGACCTACTTGAAGTACCTCCTCACACACTGATTTCCATTCAGAAACGGTGTTACACTTAAAACTAGAGTAAGATCTCTGGTAGAAATGTCCACAGAAAAAAAAAAAACAAAAATAAACATCTTTGTAAAACCATAAGCTTCTGCGCTCCATTCAGAATCTAAAAGTTGTCCTGGAATAATGGGGACGGGTGCGGTCATTGTTTATGGTTAATGTTAAAAAAATTGTCCTAAGAGACGATGTTTTATGGAACGATGCACGACGTCGAAGTAATAATTTATTATAATACAATAATAAAATAGGTAGGTACATAGGTGTTACCTACCTATTATATATAGGTACCTATGTATAATAATTTCCGATTGGACAGATTTTTCTGCCATGTATAGTAATAATAATGTCTTATTACCAATTCGTTTTTTTATAATATATACAAGTGACAACGTTGACGGTCAGCTGCCGAGCTGATGAGCTGGCCGTCACCGCTGTCGCAACTACGTTATTCTAAATCCGTACTCGCGACGCAACCACGGTGCCCGGAATCTTAATATTTTCGTAACAATAATAATAACAAACAAAACGTAAACGGAGAGCGAATAATAACACAATAATTACCGTACCGCGGTGCGCCGCACGGTATTACCGTGCCGGCCGTACGGTAATTGTCGGTGTTGCGTATGGGCGCGGGCCGGAGCGGCAGCGGTTTAGTCCGATCCGCACGGTCGCACTGCGCGTCTCGTCCGCGAAAGGTGATAAATGATTACGTTATCACGCATTACTAATGTTTGTTGGGAGTTCTCACGTCGTGTCGTTGCGTTACCATTGGCGAGCTAAGCACTTCATAAAATACGTTTTCTAATTTATTTACGGCGCTTGGGATGCACCGCCGCGGCCGTCGCCGTTGTTGATCGATACTAACACCGCGCACGGTTTGGGAAATTCGACGTTCGACCGACCGAACCGAACAGACAGCGTTCCGCGATGTGTCTAGTGCTGCGACCAGACCACTTGGCTGCCTGTAAATCGAGAGGTCAATCAGTGATGGACAGCAACAACGACGAGCGCCGTCCGTGTACCTAGTGAGGTGAGTGGACTTTGCATGACTATTATTCGGTTGCATAGACCACAGTGGTTAGATCCAGCATACGTCTGAGGAATAAATAAATACCTACTGTAAACAGAAAATTGACTGCCAGGGCACATAACTGTGTCCAAGGATCATGGGCACGACGTACACCTTTCTCCCCTAATTTCCCACGAAATAATATCGGTGTAAATTTTAGCTGATTACAATTTTTGTAATCCAAAGACCCCATTAGGGTTTATTTACAATATGTTTAAAATAATTAGTTACTTACCCACTGGTATTAATGTTTTTAGAAATCCTTTACAAAATGCCGTTCAAATTGCGCTTAAAAAAGAGTCGACAGTACAATGTCGTCTCAAAATCTTTGTATGTGATTTGTGTTGAACTCTTGGACAGCACGTCCATAGAATGTACACTGTCGGCAGAGAGTGTTGGACAAGAATGTTTGGACAGTGTATGTCAACGACTAGGACTACATCAGGTTATTATTTACCTTTGATTAATATTGTTATGAAGTCATTTTAATTTGTTTAAATTTGTTTATTTCTAGCCTGAAATCCTAGGACTGCGTTACATATCTCGTTCTAGAAATCCACGATGGGTTGATCTAAGTAGGCCGTTAAAGAGACAGCTGGACAAATATGCTTGCCATTTTAGCCTGTACTTGAGAGTTATGTACTTTATAAGTAATGTCTCTTTTATAAAGGATGAAATGACTAGGTTAGTATTTAATTTTTAGTAATTTGGTTGACCCATATTTAATATTAATATAATGGTTTACAGAGTGATTATTTTATTTTAATAACATATCTATTTTGTAGAGTTAAAATATTATCTAAATATTTATCTTTTATGAAACAATTATGTAGGTAACAACACAACATATTATGATTTATTATAATCAATATATTTGTTAACCACCACCATTATAAAAAAGATAATATTGATCTTAACAATTTCGATATTTCATATGATTTGAAGTTCAGTAGGTTAAAAATGATGTAAAAATAATAAAATGACTTCACTGTTATGTATAGTTTATTGTTTATTTTATCACTCAGAAATATTTATCATTTATAAAATGTTGTTTGTGTAGTGCATATGAAAATGTGATAAATATTTATTTGAAAGGGTTTATATATTTCATTTATTTGTTGTAAATTATTATTTTTATGTTCAATCCAGTAATTATTCAATACCAATATTAAAAAAACTGCGACTTTAGATTGTCAATAATTTTACAGTGCCATTAGTGCAATTTATGCTTAATTTTCAACAAACTGTCCATACAATTTGCGAAGCCAAATAAAGTTGATCTACATAAAACCTATAAAAAAACTCGTAAAGTGGCTTTAAACAGTCCCGAAATCTCTAGAATATTTTGAAAATTGTACCAACACAAGTATTATAACATAACAAAATGGAAAATAACAGGACTGTTATTGCATAAACTTTTCTGGTTTTCCTCATTATAAAGAAAACTAAGAAAAATCTAAAAAAGCTTGAAAAATGTTGTTATAAAAATCTCTCTTTTTGATTAAAGATTCCTGGTAGATAAGTTGTTAACAGACTTAAAATTTAAAAAAAAAAAATGTACCTAGTAATAACAATACATCACTTGCATAACTCAGAATTTAAAAAAAGACTGACATACTTCACATGATGGGTGGTCCACTGTTGTGAGAAGTTGGGAAGGTAGGATATTATAGAGGGGAATTTAATGTTATATTTGTACGCAATAACTAATATCGTTGCTATCAAAAAATTATCTGTGATGTTCGGATACATGTTTTGAAAGACCATAATATTCATGATTTTAGTCAAAATTTTATTTAAAAAACCATATAAAATAAATTCTACATTATGCCATTTTTTTTTTTTTTACTACAAAATAAGACTTATAATGAACCTCATGTTAAATTTCCATTTAGTCTAACAATATTATCTACAGAGTACCTACTAAATAAAAATTACATAAAAAAAAACTCGCAAAAATTAAAATATCTATAAATAGCTCAAAAATGGCTAAAATGTGTTGGGAATTTTACCACGTCTACAAAAGGCAAATATAAGTTTCCTGTCCAAATTTCAAATCTCTGTGAATCCTTTAATTGAATCAACAAAAAATCAAAAGGTTCCCATTTTTCAGGTTCTTCTCAGTTATTATGAAAATCCCTTAAAAAATCCAAAAATTAACCTCCTTAAAGTACCACCCTGATAAAATTTCCTTTCAGAAAATATACTGTACTTGCAAATCAGAGTAAGATTTCTGGTAGAAAAATTGTTTGTAGATAATAAAAAATAATAATAATAAATAATTAAAAATTGTAAAACCAATACATTTCTTGCTTTGCTTAGAATCTTTTTTTTTTTTTTTTATGAAAATAGATTTATTTTGAAAAATTATATTTTATACAGTTTGTACTATGAGTAATGATTCTAAGCGGAGCGAGGAATGTATTGGTTTTTAAATGGTTTTTTTTTTTTTGAGGACAACTTTTCTACCAGCAATTTTGGTCCATTTTTCAATTAGGTATAGCATTTTTCTGAAAGGAAATCTGACTGAAGTGGTACTTTAGGAAAGAAATTTTTTGATTTTCTTAGTTGTTTTCGTAATAAATGTGAAAAATTGGGAATAAACCAGGAAAAATATGGGAAGAACCGGAAAATTAAGTACAATATTAATTAAATATGTTTAAAAAAAATTATACAATACATATGTTATTATTTTACCATAATATGACATTTATATAATTAACAAAGCACTACTATTAACCAAACTTTGATCAGAATTGTTTTTCGTTAGCAATGCTTAATTGTTGCGTAAGGTATACATTAAATTTCCCCTCTACTTTCCTGACATCTCACCTACAACAGTGGCTCACCCATCGTGTAAACTATATCTGAGAGAAAAATTTTTTCACCAATTGGATTTAAACATTCCCTTTAATAGATTTATAGTACCATTTAATAGTATTATTATTTCAAAATTAAATAATTAATTAGGTCTGTTCTTCCTCTGTGACAATGATTGCAAATAGCTATTAAAAAAAAAAGTAAGCTGATACTGCTGATTGTACCACTATTTGTAGTAGGTAGTTTAAAATGTAATATTTATTGTACAAACCAGGAATGGGCAAACTTTTTTTGGTTGAGATCTACTAAGAATATACTTTTCCTTTGAGGATCAACTTCCTAAATTAATATACAGTGTATATTATACATATTAAGATAAAAGTGATCAGCTGCAATTTTGATTTATAATCAAGGTATATAAAAATATATTCTTACAAAAGGAGATCGACATTTAAGCCATCCGCGATCGACCATTTACTAATAATAAATAGTATAATATATAATAAATCATTATTAACGAAAAACGATTTGGGGAGAAATTTGGTTTAACATAGTTTAAAATGCTGTGGTTTTTACAATTTTCATCAATGATGTGAATCATTTAAAATTAATTTATTAAATTACATTGTTCATTTTTTTTTATAATAACAATTTAACTGAAAAATACAAATACATTTTTTCTTTATTCATAATGTGGAATAGTAAAGTATTAACTAATAGCGTGACTGTTAATAATTCATTATTCTTATTTAAACATGTTAATGAATATAGTGTTTTACTGTATAATTTTAAGTTTTTAAAATAGTTTAATTATTTTTATTTTAACATGACAGTAGTTAAATGGTTAAAATAAATTCAATTCTATTTTCTTTTAAAATTTTTATGTTATTATATGTGGAATTTTAATTTAAAGTTTTTATTTTAACAAGTTTGGAATTTTCGTTTCTAAAATTTCAACACAATTTTACTCTTATTATGTTATTGTTATTATATTTAAATAATTTAACCAATACATTATTTAGAATTTTTTTTTTTATAAGCTTTTAAAGGTTTTATAATGACTATTAGTTAAAAATTTTTATTTGTATTAATTTATAGTTTATTTGTTTAGCATGCCATGCAAATTTATAGATTTTTTATTTCATTACAATTTGTATTTATAGTTAGTTTTAATTTATTTTACATTTGGTTTTAAGCTTAAATAATATTCAAAGTTTATAGAACTCAAACAAATTTATTAATAGAGCATATAAGCTATAAGGGATATTAGTAGTAGTATACACAAAATGAAAAGGAATGTGTGTTCTTTTATCAACATTTAAATTTTAAACACTTATTTTATAAGAATTTTGTATAGACATTTTAAGAAGAAATATCGAAAAATACAAAATCACGACTGGGTAATAATATCTACTGGTATATTAAAATATTGACTGTTGAAACATAAAAATTCAAACATTTTTATCTAATACTTTATGAATAATATTTGAATGCAATTAAAATTCTAGAGTAATTTTTCCAAAAACTAAATAACCCAGATATCAAGATTATAATATAATAGTGTTACTAGGTATAACATTTAATTTGTAATGAGTAATGACTATTATAGTAGAGTAAATACTTTTAATTAGTTTCAAATTGAATACAAAATTGTAATAATAATAATATAGAAATATGCTTTGACCATAATGCAATTATTATTATTATTTTTTTTTAAATAGCTTTTGTATACCATTAAGGCCTTTCACTACTTCTACCAGATTCTTCCACAAATCTCTATTATCTACTAACTCAATTCCTGTCATTTTATATGCTTGATTTAAATCTCCCTTTACCTAATCAAACCAAATATGAGGCAGTCTTCCTTTTATGCATATTTTATTTAGTTTAGAGATCAGTACTTATCTCAATAGGCTGTCCTGATATCGCCATATGTGCATTGCCCATATATTTTTAAGACAAGACATTTTTGGATATTCGGACTATTATAGATTTTCTTAAAATTTGCATTTGTTCACCTTTCATATTTCCCTGTTTCTATATTTTGTATGGGATTATATATTTTTTTAAGGACCTCTCAAAGATTCGTAACTTTGTCTCGTTCCCTTTAGTAGTTGATCACGTTTCACAACAATACATAATTATTGGACGTAAATAGGAAATATATAGCTCCTTTTTCATATCTCTGGATAGTAGCTTAGAACTGATTATTTTGTTTAATGAGTAGTATTCTAGATTTGTTTCATTTAATCTCAATCTTATTTTATTGTTCATATAATATTATTATAACATGATATAATGGTTTTTATGTTCTTATTATAATTATAAATAATTTAATTTGTCAATATTTTATTCTTTTCAATGTTTTCACAGTCAATATTTTATATTTTTGGACATTTTTTGACTGTCGGCGTTTCGACTGGCTCCCATTATGAACTCGTAAATATTAGTTTTGGACTGGCCATTAGTCAATTATCAGTTACTTATAGTAAATAATTTCATTAATCTATGGATAATTTAATTTTACATTTATTTAAATAATTACATTTTATGTAATTTGTTTGATTATTTTATTGCTTTTAATTTCAGGTATCATTTTTTTCTTCAATTGAAGATGGATGTTATTGAAGGTCGTATTCTTTGTGATGCTGATCAAGCTGTATTACTTGCTAGTTATAGTATGCAAGGTAAAAACAATAGACAATTGAACATAAACATTAAATTCAGTAAACTAAGATTAAATATAAAATAGGTTTTAACGAGTTTTTTTTGTATTTATGTATAAAGCCGAGTTCGGAGATCATGATTTAGAAAAGCATACATCTGAGTATCTTAAAGATTTCGCACTTTTCCCAAAGGTATTGTTTACATTTAAAATTACACACATTAATTTGTTTAACTACAATTTTGTATCAATATAAAGTTAAATTATGAGTTTTTTGTTCTTATCTTTAAACTGATTAAATATTAAATGTGTTTTTGTTTAAATTTAGCAACTTATAGTTGTGCCAGGGCGTCTGGAAAGTCTCACTGAAGCTGCTATCTGCCAACATTCGGCTTTGGCAGGTTTGCCTCAAGGGACTGCAGAAGAGTATTATATTATTGCAGCACAACAACTAGAAGGATATGGACAGGAAAAATTTGTAGCCAAAGTATAAAATATATTTTATTAAAGTGATTTTTTATTAGTAATTTGAAATAAATTATTTATTTATTATTCAGGATGATAGTAGTGCCGAAGTAACACTTGCAGTAAGTCTCAGAGGTGTGACAATACAAAGCCAAAATAGAACTACATCGTTCTACCAGTAAGTATTCAGTTTGTTATTTTTATAGTATTAACTATCTAGTATTATCACTAAATATTGATGTTTTCATTACCAGATGGGAAGATATAGCAAATGTAATAAATCATAAGCGGAATTTTAGCATAGAAGGACAACATGATAATATAATACAGTTTCTATTCAACGATGTTGAAACTGCTAAATATGTATGGAACATGTGTGTTTTACAGGTAAACTATTATTTTTAAACAGAAATATTATTGTTCATCCATTTATGTGATGTTTTTTTACTAATTAGTGTTGTTTTATAATATTTAGCACATGTTTTATGGCTTGCATGAAAAAATTGATCAAATTGGTGACAACAAGGCTGACATAATGAGGAAAAATTTAGAATCGCATATGGATGTACGTGATAAAAAAAACAAAAATGTATATATATATATGTAGGATTTAAACTTTTTATTGACAATTGTGTATACTTTTAGAACAATATTGAGAGTAGTCGAGAAGAATTAGATATAGTTGATTCTAAGGAATCAGATATGTTAAGAAGTTCGTTTCCTTTTAATGGAGTTCGCGCTCAATCGACATCTTGTTTAGATTTGTCATCTTCGCAAACAAACGAAAAAGTACGGTTGGAAAAAAATGGACATAAATCAATGTAAGTTAAACATAAATTATTACTATAGTAGTTGTATATAATTTTAATACTTTTGACAGATCTAAATTACCATCTTATCGATTGGCTCCTGATTATGAAACAGCGGTCCAACGAAAATATTCACAAGGCAACTATTACAATCAGTCTCCTAATTTAATTCCCACTGCTTCTATTAGTCATCAAGATATAAACATTCATCAGGTATGATGTGCAATAATTTTATTTCCACATAATATGTATTTATTTAAATAATTAATTTGTGTTTAAGATAAACTCATTATTTAACTAAATTATTTATATTTTATACTCATATATATTAAATGGCCATTATTATTAATAAGCTTTTAAGCTATTTTTCATAAACCATTACGATATTTTTTTATTAAAAGGGCATAGAATGCAAAAAATATGGTTTTTATTTTTAATTTTAATAATTGTGCTATTTAAAGAAATGATATAGGTTTAACATTTTTGCTTAGATTGTTCAATAAGTTATGAGACATTTTTTTATATTCTGAGTAGAGCGAGTGTGCTTTTAGATTCTGAATAGATTGAGGAATGCATTGGTTTTACAATGATGTATATTTTTTTTTTCTGTGGACAACTTATCTACCAGCAATTTAAAGACCATTTGACTAGAGTGTTGCTATAGATTGGTAATTCTTAATAAATGGAAAAACCAGGAAAATTACAAAACTTATTATTTTAAAATCTTATTATTACGGCCTTTCTAAATATGTATAACCAAACTTCGCTCAAAGTCATGTTTTGTCAGCAAATATTAATTGTTGCGTGCAGATGTACATAAAATAAATTTCCCTCTATTTCCTGCCTTCTCAACTTCTCACCTATAACAGTGGAAAGTATATCTGTATCTTCTATTATTTTACTTTTTTCTGTCTGTAAACATCTTTTATTCCAATCAAAAAATGACAAAAGACATTTCTTTTGTTTTGTAGATATACTTGGTTAGTATGGGATAGTTTTTTGATTTTCTTTGTAGTTTTCTTAACATTTGGAAAAAAAAAAACAGTAAAATTAAAAATTTTGCAGAAATAATAGTATCATTATTTTAAATTATGTTTTTGATTGTAATTTGGTTAAAAATAATTTTAGAGCTCTACATTTTTCACAGAACACATAATATATATAATTATATATTATAATAATTTTCTATTTTTTTTATGTTAACAATATTTCTTTGGTTAATCAAGAATATTTGAAAGTTTTACACAATATTCATTCTAAGGTGTACTAAAATATGTGTAAAAAACAAAAGTTAGCAAATTCTAGTTTTTTTTGCAAAAATCAGTAAAATCACAGCATTTTATAACATGTTTAACTGAACTTCTCTCAGAATTATATTTTGTCATTAATGGTTTATTATTGTGCACAAAAACAATTTCCTTTGGCCTCCTACCTCCCCAATTTCTTACCTACAACAATGACACACTCATCAGGAGTATTGCCTATTTTTAAATATTTAAAAAAAATTAAATTTGAATATTTTATTGACACCACCTGTAACTGTCCTTCACAGGGGATATTAGCACAAATTTATATATTTTTAATAAATGTTTTTAAAAAAATGTTAGGGTTATTAAAATTATTTGAATTACATTTATTTAAAAAAAAGAAAATGGAAAAATTCTGAAAAATGAATAATAATTGCTGTACTTTTCCAATAATAAAGGAACACGTTCCTTTGAATTTTTTCGTTCCAAATACAGATGTAACTTAAATACTACACAATACATTCATGTTTTGTGACAATATGCTTACATTTTATAATCTATATATCTAATATGTAATGTCCTAATAAAATATTTTTTTTTTTTTTTAGTACAACAATGATTATAAGCAATTTCCTGATGTTACTCAGGTCAATATAGCATCAACTGTTCATCCCATTCATGGGTGTGTACCTGTAATTGTTATTATTTGTGTTTTTAGTTTTATTACAAAAGGTTATTTTTGTATTATTTGTTGAAATGTTTATAGAAATACATCAGATTTGGATATTCCTGCACAGGATACAGAATATACCCAAATTTACAAACCACCGCCACCATATCCTATAAGTAATAGTACACCTGATTTAGCAAGAGCCTGTCCTTTAGGGTATATTCAAAATCCAGTAAGTTTTTGATTGTATTTAATTTTCTATATTTTTTATAGAAATATATAATATGTTACCTATTAAATATTTATTTATTAGGTGAGTGGTTCAAGTCCTGACCTGTTGTCATCAAGAGCTCATCAATTTAATGTCGCTTCAAACCGTTACAATGCTTCTCATATGTTGACAAATTCTGATACTCATAGGACTTACACAAATTTGAATGCTTTAGTCGAATCAAGACAGGTTTATTTTGTCTGAAGTTAGTTATCTGGTTCAATAATTAATAGGTTTTTGTTATTTTTCAAGAATTTGGACGAGTTTCGAAGCGGTTTTAATGGAAACAATATGATGTACTATATGGGGCAGTATGGCCCAATCTTAAACCAGCCAATGCCTAGTATGCTTGTAAATGAAACACCACATAATTGTAGTACAGGTGAGTTTAATATAGAAAACTTGATCGAAATATTATATTATATTTGATATAAATTTAAAATGAATAAAAAAAAAAAATATTGTAATAGTATTAGGTAAATTCAATGAGCCTATTTATGAAAATGTGCCATTGCCGTGGAATTCCAAAGAAGTTCATAGTCGGGCCTCAAGTGTACAATCAGCTCCTGAGATTACATCACCTTCTAATAAAATACCTCAACAAGTAGTGAAACCTGTAAAAGAAGACATTGTTTTAGACAAACAAAATGAAGTTATACCAGTGAAAAACAATGTTTTGGATGTAAGCAGCAATTCTAATGTTTTATCTCAAGTAACACCATCCTCATCAATTAATCATTCAGCAGAACAATCTTTTGGTAAATATAATAATAATTAAAAAATCAATTAGAGTTAAGTTGGAATAGTTAGATGAATAGTAGCTGTTATTAAATATTATGATTTTTTAAAGATTCTTCAAACCAAAGTAGCAGTAGTGGAACATTGAAAAAAGAAGGAAGGGGTAAAAATCGCCGAAAATGGGCTGGTTTGTTGAGCGGTGCAGTAAAAAGTAAGACCTTGAATAGAAATGGTGACATTAGTATTGAAGAATTTAATAAAAGACATTCTTCCGTTCCGAGGCTTCCCATACCTTCAACTATTTCAAAAGATACTATGGTAAGCAAATGATTAATTATTTATTATATTCTTAAAATTTAGGCTATAATTATAGGCTTATAATTATTTTAGTGCCAACTCTTAGAACATAAACTAGAGGATACGCAATTGTTTCAAGAATTTGACAGAATAACAAAAGTCAAACCAAACGCTGAATTTTCTACAGCTTATGTGCTACAAAATTATTCAAGAAATAGGTAAGATGTATTGTATAATTTTATTTAATTATAAGATTTAATGCAATAGTTTTATAGGCATAAGGATATTCTGCCCTATGAAGAAAATCGAGTTCGTCTATCGCCGAGTAAAGAAAATCGATTTGGATACATCAATGCATCACATATAACTGTAAGTGTGTTTGTTAATTAATAATGTAATATTAAAATTATGCAATTTTTTTATAATTCTGAATTTTAATTAATATTAGGCTTCAGTTGGAAACGAACAAAGATTTTATATTGCGACACAGTCACCATTGCCAAGTACGGTGAATCATTTCTGGCAAATGGTGTGGGAGGCTGGTGTACACCTCGTCCTTGATTTATCCCAACCTAAAATTAATACCACCGATGAAAGTTATGGTGAATATTTTCCAACAGTTGCTGATCACTCAGTTCAATTTGGTGAGGTTAGTTCAGTTTAAAATTTGAATGTAGTAAGGAATGTATCTGTATAGAGTAAATTTTAGTCCATTAAATGACTTATTTTGTCAACTCTCATTTTAGTATCATGTATGGCTACAGTTTACTCAGGAGACCGGTCATTGTGTTACTAGTAAATTAAAATTACAACATAATTCATCTAGACGTTCAAGAAGTGTTTGGCATTTACGATATGATCAATGGGTCGATCAGGATTGTCCAAGGGATGTTTCACATTTTCTTGGTAAGTAATTCATCATCAAAAAGAAATAAAATAAAAAAAGAATTTTGAATTTAATTAAATATTAATTTTGAAATTAGGATTTTTGGAAGAAATGAGTTCAGTGCGTGAACACACTATAACAGAGATACCAACAGGACAAAATCGAAATCCACCAATTCTTGTCCACTGTAGTACAGGAGTGGGTAGAACTGGCCTATCAGTATTAAGTGATCTTTTACTATACACATTGGATCACAATCAGGTATGCATTTAATTTATTGTTGCACGGAAGTCAAAATTTGTAAAATTAAAATTGTGCACCAGGAACATTGTTATCCATGGCCAACGAAGCGGTCAATACGTGTTAACAAATTTTGGGGTTTGATTTATTTTGCATGAAAACATTTAAATTGTTTTTTCCGATAATGTGTTTAAAAACTAATCAATTTTTTTTAAAATAAATTTGAACATCAATAATTTAAATTATGACTTATGTAAAGCTGGTTTGTAAGAATAATTTTACAAACTTGTTTAATTATCTATTAATAATTGACGAAACATTTTTTTTGTTACACAACATTCCAAAATGTTCCTATTCTCTATAATAAACTTCATTCCTTTGATCTTATTTTCATAATAACATTTTTGGAAATATGGTTGACTCTTATCTATTCTGTTTTTTCTTATGCTTTTACTCACATATTATATTATTTTTCAAACCATTAGGTGTTGTACAAATAATTAACTATTATATTTTTTTTTTCTTTTAGGAATTGGATATACCTAAAACAATATCGCTGGCTCGACACCAGCGAATGTTGTTTGTGGAAACAGTTGCTCAATACAAATTTGTACACTCATTGCTCATTTACTATTTGAAAAATTCGCGACTTATTTAGTTACATGGATGATAAAATAGGTACGGTAAAATTGTTATGCTCAAAATACCAGTTAACGTTACAGGGTCATCAAGTGTTAAATATTGATTAAATATATAATTGATTTGTGTGTTTGTTTGTAAATATATAAATATGAAAAAAAAAAAAAATGACCACCAATGAACAAACTGTTTTCCAGTATAGTATTAAATACAATAAATATTAAAAACAAGTACATCAATACAATATTTTTATTGATTAATGAGATTATTATAATTAAAAAGTATTATTTATTTTTTTTAATGAGATAAATTCATTAACAAATATTTTAATAGTCTAATAGTTATATTATTCTTGTTTGCTTTTAAAAAAATGTTTGATACATTTAACTTAATTATTTACTTATTAATGAATTGTTGTATACTAAAAATATAGTTTTTAACATTAAGTCATTGTCTTGAAGGGCATAAATCAAGTATTACATTTACATAATTATATTGTTAACATTTAAGGTATTAGTTTTATTAAAACTTCTAATTATATTATCGTTTAAAGTATACATATGGACTATTTATCATTATCTATGAATTAAGTATTATTATAATTTTAATATCATAAAATAAATAATTATTTTATATAAATGTAACATGAATCTATCATGAAAACCAGTAATGATTATGTGCAGTCCAAGTGACCAGTTATATTTTTGAAAGAAAATTATTAATATTAGTCTTTAAGAACAAATTTTTTATTTTTTACTACTATTTCGGTATTAATAAATTAATATTATTGTTAAAATATGTATATTAACTCGAGTTCCGTTTCAAAATTTGTATCATTAACTAACTATTTAAAGAGGACGTTTAATGTATTGGGTATGCTGCCCAGGAACATTAATAATTGAGGCAAGGAATCAAATAAATAAATGATTGCTCCGATTATAATTTAAAGAAAATAATTGTACAGAAATAAGAATAAAATATTAAAAAATTAAAACTTTCATTGCCATTTATGATACATCATTATTTTTTTATAATATATTATTACCCATCTATTTTACCTATTCATCAGTTTTACCTATTGAGTTATTGCATTAATTTCTGGGAAAATCCGCATCTAATTTTATCGTTTCGGCGCAGTGTCTGGTATTAATTGACGTTAACGATAGGTTTTACAGAACACGATTTTTATCTACCTACAAGGAAAAAAAGCATATGCTATAGTGTAATAACTAGTAAAACGCTTAGAAAAAGCAAATATTACCTAGTTTTCTGTCAAAATTTCAATTGTCTGCGGATAAATGCCTTGCGGCTTTCTCAATTGTTACGGAAACTACTTGGAAATCAAAAAACGACTTTCTCACTCATCGACTACATCTAAAAGTAATAAAAAAAAATGTCTTTTATCGTTTTTCTATACTTGATACAAAAGTTGTTCACAGACAGAAACAAATACGCCTACTTCTTAGTCAAACCTGCAATAGATCCCTTGCTACGCTCCGAATCTAAAATAATAATTTGTCATGGCGATGGTACCTACAGCAAAAATGCACATTATATTTACAACAGTCTGCAACTATATCGATGTCAAGTAAATATTGCGATTGACATCGATTTTGCAAATGCCGTGTCGGTAACATCACTTTAATCGATGTTTCGCGCACGTTTGGCCGGTTAGATGAACCGCTGTTATTCTGGTTTAAACGTTCTCTAATCAGTGGCAGGACGCGACTACACTTCTCGCTTAATATTACAATAAATCTGCACTGCAGATACGCGTAACACGATGAGCGCCGAGCAACTCGATACACACGCCGATATTGCGTAGGTTAATTACCGAATTGCGTTTAAAAACTTTAAAACGAAATAAAATTCTAAGTGTACCTGCAATACTCATGCGGGTACATCGAATTTCCGGGCCGCCAAAACAGGTACCTCCCAGTTAATTATGCGGTCGACACGGGCAGGTAATGAAAATCGACCGCGCATAAAAAAATAAATGACGTCGTACAAAACGTCTCCGCGCTATTGTATCCGGTCGTGATTGTACAATATACCGTACGTATATATATATATATATTATTGTTATACGTATACAATATTATATAGTCGCCGGTATAGGTGCGCACGCCCGACCGGCGGGTACATTGTACACCCGTCGCCGGGCGAGGGTATAAAATCATCAAGGTTCCGCCAAGACATCCGGTATATGCAGGGAATTCGGGTACCTACTTTGTCTATAAGTAAATATAGCTCCGAGGGATCAAAAACGATCGGACGTATATATATATATGTGGGTATGGGCGGTTTAATAAAATGTTCGACGAGAACCGATCGCGGTTCGCCTGCCGCAGTTTGGGCTGTGCAGCTAGTATGTAATAATGGCTCTCGAATTCAAATACGGTGCCTATACATACGAGTATATGTATACAATCTAACCTATATTTAATATAAAATACGGTCGCAAGTCGAACGGATATAGCAAATATCATAAAAGTCGAGTCAACAACGCTCGTGCAGCGGGTGTATGCCGATCATAGATTTTAATATATGTATACCGGAAGACAGGCGGATATAGTTTTGCCCGGAGGCGGCGCAAAGGCATTTTTTCCAGTTCCGGTGTTCAAATCGTAGCAAGGTGGAACGTCCGTGAAGTTGGCCCCCGGACTTTGTCCAATCGGTTTCAGATCGATTTCAAAATCTGGCAACCTTTTGGTAACTAATCGTGACCGATATCAAACAATTTGTAACCAAACCGTTTCCGAGAATTGTCAATTTTCATTTCGAATTAAAATAAATGAAATTGGAGAACGTGACGAAACGCCGTGCGATCATCAAACTTTAGCTTTTTCTTTAACGTAAATACGACCGACAAAAACCTCCGGCAAAAAAACCTACCGTATTTCAAAAAGTAATTGCAAATAAACGAACAAAGACACTGAAAAAATTCTTTTATTTTTGAATTACAAATACTATGCCATTTTACATTATATAAAGTAATTATTTAGTTTCGATCATAACGTCTGTCAAACACCGTCCTTCATTGTCGATACATTGACGGAGCCTTTCCCGGAAGTTTTCCATAACTCTTTTTGTCATTGCCGGTGTAATGGCAGCCACCTCCTGTGTGATAGCCTCCTTAAGTGTTTGCAGTGATGTGGGACGACGCCTGTAAACTTGGGCTTTTAAGTATCCCCACAGAAAATAATCACAAGGTGACAGATCGGGTGACCTCGGGGGCCAGGTGATGTCTCCTCGCCAAGAGAGAAGACGTCCAGGAAACAACTCCCTCAAAATGTCTAGTGAACGCCGTGAAGTGTGAGCTGTGGCTCCGTCTTGTTAACACCAGACTTCTTCCTCTACACAGTTCCTTGCAAGCTGGTTTAGGTTAGGCCGGTGAAAAGTCTCGATTATGTAACAGTAGCGATAATGGCCGTTGATGAAGTTCCCGAGGGTTTTCTACTGCCCAGCAGCGGAAATTTAATTTATTTACAGTACCAGACAAGTTGAAGTGGGCCTCATCAAACGAAATCAAAACATCACCAGCGGGAATGTTTTTAATAATGTCTTCACACACCCAAAATCGGAAATTGGCTCACCGGTGAAAATAATGTCCAACAAAATTTGTAAGTTGTGAAACAATTAAGTAACAAATTTTTTGAATGGATAGGATTGATGTCCGTTGATTTTGTGCGACGAAGTTCGCGCGTGTATTTAAATCGTACTATGAAGTTAGCAAGATCTCAATAAAATTATGGCTCCCTGAAATGGAAATTAAGTTTTCTCTCGGAAACTGTTTGGTTACAAATTGTTTGATGTCAGTCACAATTAGTTACTAAAAGGTTATTAAGTTTTTAAATTGGCCGGGAGTCGATAGGACAAAGTGGGGGGGGGGCAACTTCACACACAGTCTGACGTCAGACGTCAGGGTGGACGCACGGCAAGGAAAACCAATACGCAACAAAAAAAAAAAAAAAAAAAAATCTGCGCGAAAATTGTATTTCAGAAGAAATAAAAACCCGAAATCATTGAAATAAGAACTATTTACGGTTTATAAATACAACTACAGTTGTACGTGACATTTTATACAGGCGCACGTTATTGTACTAGATACAATATTAATGTAAACAGAAATAAATTAACATAGTTAACTGTCTCTTAATAAAACCGTTAAATGCCTATTCAATTTTAACGAAACCAACTGTACCGGTAAACCCGCGCCTACCTATTTGTGCCCAATATTATTCAATTGATTCGTCTGCTTTTGTCGTTAAACGTTATCAATACTTATTGATTTTTATCCACCCGACTATTTTTTAGGCGAAATTTAGTGCTTACGGCATCATAGACTTTTTTTTCGACATTTTTTGTTTTATCCAAAGAAGTGTCTATATAATTTCGCATCGATATAATATGCGTCACGCTTACACTTATACATATATGACACTGATAACAATTTTAACAAAAATGTTAAAAAAAAAAATGATCCGCTTCTGTTTTCCCGGTATGAAATTGTCTGTGTTATCCCATGATTACGAAAAGTGTTTCGGGTACTGCGAAAAGTGGCCTATATAAAGTATTAATCAAATTTAAAATGTTACAAAAAAGTAGAAAACGTTAGGCGTATTTTATTTCTTGTTGAAAAAAAACTATTTTTAGATTCTGCGAGTGAAGCGAGGAATGTATTAGTTTTATTGCACAAAGTGATTTTTTTTCATCATGAACTAGCAATTGTCTTGGAGTTTATTTAAGTTGATTTTATTTTTGTTTTTTCTGGTCATTATTATGGAATCGTATAAGTTTTATTTTTAAAACCATTTTTTATTTTTTATTCCTATTCCATATTATACCTAAAATAAGTACATACTTATGATTTTCAAATAGAACAACCCCCCCCCTTTTGAACACAGATTTTAAATAGAGAATATTTTTCTAGACATTTTGATATGCATAACACTACTATCAGATTTACCGTTTATGAATTATAACCGTTTAAAGTTTAGATCGGAGGAGTAGGGAAGGGTAATAAATTGACTATCTATCTCGAGTACGTTGTTTTTTTCGATTTTTATCAAGGTAATCCAGAATAGACAAAAATGTTACACACAATTGTCAGTTTTTCCCATTTATTTTAAGAAAACCACAGAGAAAATACAATAAAAATACGTCTTCATTACACTAACTAGATCAAAAATGTTAGATATAAAAAAGTTTTTATGAAGTTTTTGATTGTAACAAGATTTCTGGTCGAAAAGTTGTTTACAGACACAAAACATAAAAAAATAAAAAACACATTATAGTGAAACATTCAGAATCGAATAATAATAAATGTGTACATTTTATAACTGTGCAAAGGTATGTTTTTAGGTTTGTTATAGTTACACTTAAAAGGAAACTTTTACTTTTTAATTTTAACTATTATAACCTTCCTCGAAAATGTATACATTGATAATTTATACAGGTGCCTAGTAACCTACTTGGTGGGTATAGTAAACAATGAAAAATGCCTCGTGTTTATATATATATATTTTTTTTTACATTTTAACAGTTTTCAGACTTGCCAATTTCAAACGATTTTACCGAGAAGTGTTGTATGGATAATCGGTACACTAATAATTAATAATATATAATATTATAGTTGTTTACCGTAGCCGAAAAACTTAAACATTTTGCACGCAAAACCATTCATATCATAAAATTACTTGTTTTTTTTTTTTTTTTTTTTTTTATTATTTTCAGAGCTCACAAAAGTATGATGTTCCCATAAACAAAAGTACTTACAAACTATAAGAAGGTATAATTCTTTATAGTTCTACATCTGGCTACATTTATTTTTTTTGCAAATTGTGTCAGGTACTATGTATAAAGTTAACAAATAAAAATAAAAAGGTTACCTACATAGGCTTATAAAAATAAAAAAGCCGCACGTATTTCATACAACGGGTCGGTCACCACTCAATAGTTAGATGTAGTTGATGGAACCTTTAAAATGTATAACATATAGGGTAATTTAATTTATATAATGAAAGTGACAAAAAATCAAAAACCAATTCTAAACAGAGTATAGTATATTAGTATTATAGTCATGTTATTTTCCCTTATAAGCTACACGGGAAACCTTTGTGTATAGTTGTATAGGTGAGTATGTAACCCCGTAGAAATCAATAAAAATAAAACCAATGTATCGAAATTTGCTCTCATTTTTTAAAATTGTATCTAACAAAATATCTTGTAAATAACTGTTTTAGGTAGGAAGTTGGGTGGGTAGGATACAACATACAGAAGAGAGTTTAATGTATATCCGTAAGCCACGATAAACCATTGCTAACGAAATAACAATTCTGAGCGGAGTTCAGTTGATAGTAATGCTTTGTCAACAATATAACATGCCATATTATGGCAAACAATTAAATAGGTATTGTGTATTTTGTTTAATAATATTTGTTTAATATTATACTGATTTTTCGTTTACCTTACATTTCCCCCGTTTTCCCGTGTTTTCACATTTTCCGGAAAAATTACCTCCTTAAAGTACCATCCCAAGAAAATTTCTTTTCGGAAAATGGTCTAAACCGTATTCACATAGGCGCGACTAGGGAGGTGCTAGGGGGTCTTTAGCATTCCCTAGTTTAAAATTAGCACCCCGAAAAAACCCGATCAACATTTTCGTAGTATCCAATAAATATTTTATCCCTGTGTATCATAATGCGCAGAACAAAACACAGATATCTTATATATATACGGACAATGCATATGTGTATGAAAAACGCATAATATTAAAATATTTATGATAAATTCGTGTATAAAAAATTGTAAACGAAATGTGTAGTTGCCTATTGAAATGGAGGGCGCGTATCCCTCGTGGGTCTTTGATGCGTTTACAATTTTAGCACCTCCAAAGTCGGTGGTCTAGTTGCGCCTACGCGTATACATCGGAGTGAGATGTCCGGTAGAAAAAGCGTTCGCACGAAAATAAAAATAAAAAAATAAAAAACAAACATCTTTGTAAAACCAATACGTTCTTCGCTACGTTCGGAATCCAAAAGACGCGCATAGCGTTGTAACAGCAAAACCACGTTGTCGATAAAAACACGCGAAAACGGGAAATAAAGTCGGTAACACGGGTAAATTACAAATCGGTTTTCAATTCACGACCATCCGCCGTAAATCGATAATGCGTGACGATATCAGGCGATGTACCGGCCAGCCGCCGATTACGCTTTGGCTCTCGGGCGTCCGGGCCGCCGGCCGACCGTTAACGGGGCCGACAGAGCGACGGTTTCGGCGAGACCTAAACGTTTAATCCGCCGCCCGCCTGCCGCGGCCGTTGTGTATCGATCAAACACGCGACGTGACGCGCGGCGTGCTCGTGTGTCGGGCGGAATCGGGCGGTTACGCGATGCGAACGGAGCGGTCCGTCTTGCGCGACCGCGCGCGGTGATCGCCCGACAGGCGTCCCGCGCGAAAAAATGACCGATCCGGACTCTCTGGACTGGATATGGGAGGACGTTCGCGATTCGTCCGAACCGCGCGGGACCGCGGCCGCGGCCGGAGAATCCGACGGCGACGTCGGCGATTCCGAGTCTCGCGACCGTTGCGCCGGCGACGGCGACGGCGGTTCGGACACCGGTTCCGGTTCGAGCGTCGGCTGTTCGCTGCTGACCGGAGACGAAAACCCGGTACGAAAATTATTGGACGGCGTCGAGAAACGGAGCGGCGGTGACGGCGGCGGAAACGACCGAACGGAAAAGCGCGGACCGACAATTATTCACGTCGACGGCCCCGGACACGAGCCCGGGGACTGCGAATCCGATATTATCGACACGGTTTACGCCGGCGCTTTGGCTGTGGCCGAAAGCGAATTATCGGAAGTCCGGCGTCTATGGACAGACGCGTTGTACGCGTGTACAGTTAACGGGTAATTTATCGGCCGTTACGGTTTTTGTCCGTTTTAAATACGAAACCCCGTGGGTTTTTTTTTTTTTTTTTAATTGAACAATGTTTTACGCGCCTATAGGAAAAACGTACCGGAATCGTATACGAAAACGACGAGTATCGAGAAACTAGTGCTTTTGTACGCCGACAAATTCGCCGAACGATTTACGGCCAAGTATCCGGACAGACGGCTAGTTTTGCTGCACGAAAACGAATGCGGCGTTCAGGTTTGAACGGTTTGACAATAGCATTGTAGCGATAAACTAATGGAATAGGTATGCATTTCACGCGAGCATGCACCGTGTACTTAGACAACCGCGATGTTCGCAGTACAGTTGTCCAGATGGCGTTTTATTAAGTGCCGTATGCTTGGGTGACGAAACCCCGTCTCCGTATTTAGTCACCTATTGGGCGTTTCTGCATAGCCGTCTGTTTTGCTTTACCCGTTAAAAACTTTATCGTGCGTGTTCTAAACAGTCGGCGGTAATTAAGATAAACGTCGCCCCTTTTCGATTTATATTAATTCGTCCCGCGCAGTTGTGTTCAAACCAATCGAATAATGGTCCGGCGATTCGTCTGGTAAGTATTTGGCCGAGGGTTTAACGGCCGAATCCAGATCGTTTATATGGACTAAACGCGGAGATGGGGGTTCATCGATCACCCGGGCGAACGGCACTTTATAAATAGTTTTCGAAAAATTCGAGCCGGTCGTGATTTGTATTACTAACAATTAGAAGCGGAAAAAAGCCCTTCTAAAAAATCAATAAAAAAAAAATCTATCGATTTAGACGAAAGAATACTCAACACGGTAGAAGATTCGAGAGGAACAGCACAAAATATTTTATTCAAATAGCTCGTAATTATGTATGTTTTTTTTGTTTTTATTTTATTTTCACGTATGCGCTAATTTAAATTAAACATTTATACGGTTTTTTTTTTTTTTTTATTTCACAGCGGTTATTCGGATATTCAGAGTTTGTGTTTAATATTTAATACGCCATGATATAATAATATACACAATTATTATCACATGTCGTTATTTTTATTGTTTATCGCATTATTATTATTGTCAACGTTTTTTTTTTTTTTTGGGCGTCCGAACGCCGCCGTCTAAATGTCCCTAGCGTCCATGTGGCGGCGTCCATTCGTCCCAGACCCCAGTCGCGCACTGAGATTTGCAAGTATGGGATTGGTGTACACGAGACGGTTATTTCATCTCAATTTTGAATTTAAATTATTTTCAAGGGTAAACTATAGGAAACGATAGTGTTACCTACAGTTTTCCCGGGAATAAGTATTTATCAGCCGTCGCGAGCGTTGCTCGCCGTGTCCGATTCCGTCATCAAAGTCCCTTAATTTTTAAAAACGCGTATCCGAGGGTAACGCAATACTATAATGCGTATGTTGTTTTGTAAATTTTATTCTCGAAACGTTACAATGTCGGGTTTTTTTTCCCTTAGAAATGCGTTTGCACTACAATCAAACCGTCTCGATTGGTCTACCACGATTTGAACGATTTGAAAAGTTACAGCGAGTTCGTTGCCAAACACATAACGTACGTCAGGCTACAAGAACCTATGGCCGTGGTATGGTATTAATAATTTTATCAAATCACAGATACTGAATATAATCAAAATTGTTTTCTTATGATATTGGAAATTCAACGAGCGCGATAGTCGTGCGATCTATCATCGCCACGTTGTATACATATTATGCACGAAATTAATAACCCGATTACGGTACTTCTCTAAATTCGCGTTTTATTTCGCCGGACAAACATTAACTATACGTAATACAGTATTAATAACACGGTTTTACGTGTGTAAACTGTTAAGCGCGTTTTGCCGAAACGATCGGATTATATGTATATTAACGCGTAAACACGAAAACTCGAAAATTAACAATGTACACCCATTCCGTATGCAAACTTGAACGAATAACAATATTAAAAACGGGCACCTGTGATTTTCCAGCCGAAAAAACTTGTGTCTCCTACGACGACGTTGAAAATAAAAATCGCTAATTGTTTCGAATTAGCAACACTGTTAGTATCTTTTTTGATCGGTTGCGAGTACAACGCTTTTGTTGTACAAGGTTACGCCGCGGAAACCGTGTGCAACAACGATCTGAGAAAAATCAAGTTGGACCTTCCAAAAGACAACGTGCGTAATTTTTTTTTTTTTTTTTCGATTTCTACTCGGAACGGTTTAAATTGCGTTTTTTTCGTTCTATTGAATTTTATATGACATTGTTATTAGCTGGACAACGAACACTGTGAATCCAACCATTCAGAAACCTCGGAAAATTCCGAGTCGAAACCTACGTTCGATCTGTGTAGTGAATATGTAAAGTTTTTAATTGACGGCGAGAAAAAAAAAACTGTCGTCCGAAACGAAGTGAAAGAGGTAAGAAAATACCGTGAAATTGTGTGTTTATATTTTGATTGATGGGACGTTTCAGAACGATTTGGACGGTTCTTCGGATCCGCTGTACGGAAAGCGAGTTCACTGTTGGGTTCTAATAATGACTATGCCTACGGGAATTAAAGACGAAAATTCGACCGATGGTTCGTGTTATTTCATCGAACCCAGTACAGGCGAACGGCAACATATTTCTAACAAAAACTACGTCGGAATAGAATCGATTTGGAATCATAAAAATTATTGGGTTAATTTACAGCCCTCGGACGGAGGTTGCGCGGTTTGTATAATAATATTATAATCAAGGGGCCTGCGCGTGACGTTTTGTTTGCTTGAAAACATACCAGAAGCGTCTCCAGACCTTGAATATGGGGAGGGGGGTGAAATAATTAAATTTTATGTTAATGATTGATAAAAAAAAAAAAGACGGACATAATTCGCACGATGGGCGAACCACTGTTGTAGATGAGAAGTTGGGAAGGTAGGATAAAGAAGGAAATTTAATGTTTATCCGTAATCAAAAATTAATAATTGCTAACGAAGACCGATTCTGAGTAATGTCGGTTAATAATTTTGATATTTCAACAATATATTATAATATGTCATATTACAGTGAAATAAATATTATATTGAAATCATTTGTATGGACCAGTCACTAGATTTGTTCCGCATAGTTTTTTATTAAAACATTTTTCGTCAAAATTTGATATTAAAACTCGTATAAAAAAAATAGACTATATTAAACTTAATCTTTTTTGTTTTCACCGCAAAGTGGGACTTATAATTAACCTCCTGTTCAATTTTCAACCTTTCTGTTTTGTCTAAAAACTTTATCCGCAGAGTATTTACCAAATAAAAATTACTCGTACAATTTAAGAGTCTATAAATAGCTTCTTAAATATGGCTCAAATGTTATTACAGTTTTATCATGTGAAAATAGACAAATACAAGTTTTCTGTCTAAATTTCAAGTCTCTACGAATATTTTTAACTGAATTACAACAAATAACACAATTGGAAATGATAAAAAGCATTATTTTAATAAATTTCCCGTTTTTCTTACGTTTTCTCGCGGGTTTTCCCAGATATTATGAAAACCGCTTGGAAAATCTAAAAACGACCTCCTGAAATACCATCTAAACAATATTTTCTTTTAGAAATGGTGCCACACGTTCATATCTGGGCAAGATTTCTGATACAAATTTTTGTCACTATACTCAGAATCTAAAAAAATATGTCAAATATCTATTATATCTATTTCTGGACCATTGAGTATGCCAAATGCTAATGTAAGTCCTCTTATCTCAAGGGGAGGGCGGAGGTCACTCTTATCGGTTCCCCCCTCAGGGACGCGTCTGAAACATACCATAAAAGAAGAAATCGCATGATTCGTAGAGTAAACCGATTTCGATCATTTTTTTTTATTATTGTCTGAAAGAGGAAGAATTCTTACATGGCGCGTTGGACTTCGAAAATTATGTTTCTAAACGCTATACATGTGTGTAGAGTCTGAATATGATCATAGTTTACCAGGTATTGATAAAATAATTTTCTTTTGTAGTTTAGTTATGAGAGTTTTTCTTGTTTTGAGTAAACAAATAAATACTTTGTGCGCAGCCCTCTATGTGTATAAATTAAATTTGATTGAATTATTTGTTTAGAACTATTAAACTCTGTTAATTGTAAACATTAATTATTTGTTAAACACGAGCGGGACTCTTAATTATCACGGTTTATTTTAAACTTATGTTTAATACAACATTTTATAAAATATTGCATAGTAGTACAATTTCACTTTAACGAATACAAAATGTTGGGAATGTTTTTTACCGGACGAACCTCAACGTTTACAAAAGGCCGCGACATCGCAGGACTTATTACGACATAACGGGAATGAAATCAATAGACCTATTACAATGCCTAACTCATGGGTGAACGTCTTAGAAGTCCCAAGGAATGGTACGGTATTAACTTACAGTTTAGTTATTTAAAAATATATACATATAGGTGTATTATTTTTTAAACGAAACGCGTATGTTTTAGAATATCTTATGCTGTATCCGACTGGTAAAAAAATCGTGCCGTTTATGAACGCGGTCAAAGAGTATTACGCTGATTACGCGATGCCCGACGGGTTGATCGAAAAAACCACGTTTTACGCTGAACCGGACTTCGACAATAAAACGTTTGTCAAGGAAGTATACAAACACAGAATAGATAAGTTAATCGGTGTAGAGATAAAATACGGCGCCGAAAAATTCGAAACTACAGAATATTTTAACAGCGGCCGGAAAGATTGTTTAAAAGGTACACATATATCTGGGTAACACCGTTTAAAATTTAAATCCGACGGTTTATAGTTTTTTGTATTTGTTAATAGTGCACAAGTTCCGCGGCGATGGAAATAGTTTAGAGACCGAACGCTCGATTACGTTTTACAATTTGAGACTAGATTCAATGACCGAGTTAAATATCGATTCAAACAGTTTCACAACTCTGTTTAAAGACAGGTTACTAGTTGTTATAATGATTCATTTTAAATTCTGAGCGGAACTAGAAATTTATTGGTTTTGCAATGATATTTTTTTTTTTTCTTTTATCTATGAACAAATTTTCTACCAGAAATTTTTATCCGATTTTCAAGTGTAGCACTTTTCTGAAAGAATATCTAACCGGGAGTGGTATTTTAAGAAGGTAATTTTTTGATTTTCTTAGGATTTTTCATAATGAATGGGATAAAACATAGGAAAAACGTGAAAATGTATGAAACGTATTATTTTCTAATCGTTAAGGCCTTTAAAAACTCGTATAACCGAACTCCGCTCAGAATCTATTTTTATTTTTAGTAATATTTAGTCGTTGCGCATATGTATAAATTAAATTTTCCCTCTATCTCCCAACTTTTCACCTACAACAGTGGCCCGTTCATCGTATAAAGTATGTCCGTTGGTTTTTTTTTATTACTTGTAACACGAATACCGGATCTGAAGGATTTACGGAGTGGGTCTAGGAGGGCTGGATTTCCTCCTCGGATACCGATATAATTCCAAAAAAAAAAATGTCCTCTAAAGACAGGCATCTATTTAAAATAATATCATTGAAATACATATAATTTGGCTGGACCTCAGTGAAATGTTAAAAATCACGTGAATACAATATTATTATACACAATATAATATTTTTTGGTGAGACATATTTTTATTAGGTGTTAATTAAAATTACAATAAATAAGTTTAAATAAAATGTAGATAATTATTATGCAAACGTGTTGATAAACAAATTAAATAACGATATTAGGCGTCCTCCTAATTACTTAATTCGTTAAAATATTCCTTTAAAACACATCTAAAATGTATACTTCCTAGTAAAAATTAGTTTTATATTGATTCTATTCAAAATTGTATTGGTTTTTTCGTCATTATTTTAGATCTGATTTATTATTCTGGCGCACGTGTACGTTCCATAAAACAGAAGAGAGTCGACATTTAATTATTAAAAGAAAACCCAAAGTAAGTAAACTATTAATATTGGTACACGTACAAGTAAATATTTTAGAGATTTCTTTATTCTTTTTTCGTTGATTATATCGTTTATTGAGAGAATACGCTTAGGTCGTCAACTCACCATTTCGGATTTTTCACACCTTGCGTGTGTTTTAACATAACTATAATTTATACTAACAATTTTTTTTCCTCTTCTAACAGTTTTAACATAACGTGATATACAGTGTTTGGATTAGATAGACATGCTTTTACAGTATTCTAAATATTTTAAAAATACCTTTTTTCGGAAGTATTCAACACTGCAGTGTTATAAATAGTTTTAAAAAGTATTGTATTCTTAGAAAAAAAAAAAAAAAATGTTTGTCACTTTCATTTTAGAGTTTTAAATGTTTTATTATAAGATGCATGATATGCTTTATTATTTTGTAGGAAAATATTTGTTTGGTTGATAAAAATGATCCAATTTCTCCACACATTTCCTTTATTATAGATGACGCATTTCTATTTGGCGGTACTTAATAAAAATATATTTTTAAAAATTGTCCATGATTTACCCCTTTCGGCCTTCAGCCTTTATGTTTGTTTTTTCTCGGAAAGCATTTATTTTCAGTTAATTTCCATCCACAACAGTGGCACATCCGTATGTCCGTATACCTATAAAAATCGTATTCCTAAAATATTCCTTATATTTTAAAGTATTCAGAATATTTTAAAAATACTATTGTTTTAAAGTATTCAAATTCATATTAGCAAAACTATTTTTTGTATGTATTTGAATATTTATTCTGAAATACTTTCAAAAAAGTATTTTACCCAAGTCTGAGAATAGATAACTAAAAAACTATTTAAGTAAAGATAAGTGATACCTATATCATGAAAATTCATCTGGATAAAGATTAAAAATAAATTTATTCTTTATGTGAAAACACAGAGCTAAGGTTAACTGGGTAAATTTACCTAGGCATTTTCTAAATGCAATCAAGAAAAATTAACTATAAATTAAAAGTTAGTTTAATTTTCTTTTATGTCAATTCGTTAAGTTTAAAAGTTAAAAATATATAGGTAACTTTAATTTAACCTATACTTATATATTTATTTTTGTTTAAACTTGTCCTTGTTAGGTAGTACCTATGTGAATTTAACTTGATTACGGTACAGAACCATTGAAAATAATAAGTAATATAATTGATTTAAGTTACTAATGAATACCTTTTAGAATCATTTATTTTATTTACTCTAATAAAATTGTATTAAGTTTTATTAATTTATAATTATAAATAAAATATAATTATAACTATAAAACACATTTTCAATACTTAAGATTATTTTTAATAACTCTCATAATTTATCTAAATCATAATTTGAACTATTAACTATTCTTTTATAGATTTATATAAAGTTATTATTCTGTGTTTTATTCACATTTTATTTAATTTTTATATTCTTAGGAGAACGAGAAATGTATTGATTTTATAATGATATTTTTTTTTATTTTTTATTTTTTTTTTTTATGTGAACACTTTTTCTACTAGAAAGTATACTCCGATTATAAAGTAAAGCATATTTTCTGAAAGGAAATGTTCTCTGGGTGGTGCTTTAAGAGGTCATTTTTTTTTAATTCTTATTAATATTCGAGATAATGAGAAAAACTTGCCTTTTTAGGTTAGAAAAGATTGAAAGATTAAAAATAAAGTTGCCATTGGCAACCGTTTTTATTTATTTTTTGTTATTGTTAAGTTTTTATTATTTTAAATCTTTTTTAAACAATCATTGTTGTCATTGAAACGCACATTGTTGCAATAATTTTACAAAATAATAATAATAATAATAATAATAATAATAATAAAAATAACAATAATATGACATACAAAATAAATAAATAAATAAATTTACGAGTATATTGTTGACAAGCAATTAGGTAAATGTGTATAAAATAATTTAACGAAATTGTTTGTATATCGTGCTTATATTTTATTGTTTGGCAGAATATAGTTGAAAAATATTTAAGGGACGAATCCAAACACAAAGATCGAGATATCGCCACTAGACAATTTGATTTCGTGGCCAATGAAATTTATGTTCAATACCAATATGGCGAAGGGCAGATTACACAATCTAGCAGACTGTTTATCAAGCCTTCCGATTCTACAAGTGCTGACAAGTTTGATCCTAAATCAGTCATTGAAAATATTGTCTATCCGTACGAAGGACATTTAAAACCTTATGAAGCGTATCTCCTATTACAAGACATGATCAAAGCCGAAAACGAAGCACTCCATGATATTTCGAAATTAGAAGACAGTGTAATAAAAATACTGGAAATTCGTAGTCACGAACGATCTGAGTTTAAGTTGAAAATCGATTCGTTGGACTGGGACAGAAATCATAGGATAAGGAAACTACTCCAAAATGAAGTAATTTGTATATTTATAACGTTATTGTATACTCTCTGCAATTTAGAACTTTTAAAACAATATTGTTTTCAGAAAGATAAAAAGCTCAGTCTCGCTAAACAAGATAATGTCAAACAAACAGAATACGCTTTGACTTATTTCGATACTGTTAAAAAACAATCATTCACATATGACACGGCTTTAAATGTGCGCGATAAAATCTTAAACGATTTTAGACGAAATACCAAGAATAAGTTTATGCGAACTAAACAATTATTTATGGAGGTATTGGCTGAATTCATTTTTAAAATTAGATATAATGATGCCTTTTAGTTTTATGTATCACTTTTATTTTCTTCTATAGAAAAAATTCCAATTCGAGTCGGTGATGGCGAAAGCGATGGAAATGAACAACGACGCCGACGAATTTGAACTCAAAAATAAAATATTGATTTTGTGTTCGTTTTTGAAATATAAATTAGAAGTATTGATGTTGAAAATGCAACGATACAGCGAAACTCACGTTCAGAGATACGACAACTTGGCCTCGTACTTAAATAGTAGTCCCGATTTCGAAATGTTACCGCCTCTAAAACTGATTAATTCGAAAGATTGAACATGACTAACAATTGTCCCGTGACTTGTATACACGCATATTACAATAGTATAATTATTCTTTGTGCATAATATAATATAAAACGTAAGATCGATTATTGTCGGGTTTTTAATTAATCTGGATTAGCGAGTAGATATTGTCTGTATAATCCTATACGTTACGGCTTTTACGTTGAAAATCGGAAAATGTCGAATTTTCATTCGGTAGATTCAATTTTGTGCTGTCGATTTTAATATTGCAGTGCGTCGGTTTAAATTACTCAACTATAAAACTGAAACGTAAGAATATTATCTGTGTCTGTACGTCAATTTTTTGTTCGACACTTTATTTTTCAAACGAGATACGAGCACGTGTAATACTACAATTTAAACATATTTGTATCCTCCGGAAAAAATTAAAATATCCTACAAAATCAATTTATAAACGTATAGACAACGGTGTTATCTTTAAGGAAAATAATAAGCCATTTCACTCGTCTAATATTACGTTAAAACATAATCGGTTCTACCGAACCAAACCTAATCAAATTTTCGACATTAAACGCCGTAAGCGTAAGTACGCGTAAACACAATGCAATGATATATACGGTGTAGTTTCAACCATATTTAAATTTGAAGTGATAAAATCTGGCGCGAAGTGGGGTAGTCATCGTCTCGACATCCTAAGAAAGATTATAATATGTATATGATACCTACTCACCTACATGCGAGGTATAACTACTTGTTATATATATATATACGTATTTGACACTGCAATAGCTGCTCCTGAAGAGTTTATACGCGGTTGTTTAATAATTAAGCCGCGAAAACCCACGGAAAACTTTAATAATATTCAGCTGTTGTGCAGCGCAAAGTTCTCCCCCACCACGTATATCTGTTGTATCCGTTCACTTTGCATTTTCATAAATGGTTTCTTAGTGGGCACCTAACGTATATAATTACAATAATAATAATAATAATAATAATAACTCACGTCGCGGTGTTTTAATATTATCATATTATATACTTACTTACTCTCTTCGGGGGTAAGTTTACTCTGCAATGTCGCGTCAATCCACGTTTCGCCGCGGATAGTGTCGCGAACCGTCGTTTTACTCGATGATAATATTGTTATTGTTTTCACTCTCCTCGGTTTAACACGATGCAGTTATCTACCTATGTACGTGCATTTTTAGTAACGCGATATAATTATCGCTTCCGATTTATTGTACACCGTTCAAAAATCATTCCTTTTTGTTTGTTTATTTATTTATTTTTGCAATGCGAAACGAGGTTGGCATTATTTAGGGTTTATTTTTTTTTTCGATTGAATGTGTTCAACACGGTGACACGAACGCATACCTATACCTACATACATATACATGCAGATAGATCGAATGGAAGTGCATTAAAGTAATGAACATCGTAGGTGTACTTAATGTACATTTTAGATTCTGAGCGCAGTGAGAAATGAATTGGTTCTACCGTTGATTATATTATGCGAGTATACAATTGTTAGCCCACTGCAATAGGAAATGCGCTGTGTGATAAAAATCGGATGGACGCGATATTCATTATAACTTTAAAGAGATAGTAAAAAAATAAAAAATTCAACCTAATGTACTAGGTTTATTTGAAAACGTTTTAAGTTTAAATTTTGAGAACAATCATACAAATTACGACATTTCAAAGCATTTTTTATCAAATTTCGCTAAGAATCGCTTTTTTTTTATTAGTAGTGGTAAGCCTTTACTACTCATACAGTTTATTGTATATTCGAATCTCTCCAATTTCCAATTTACAACTGTACCGCACGCGTCAATATCAGCTATTTTTTGTCAATAACTGCAATAATGCGTGTCATTATGCATGTTCGTAAAATCGTTTTAGTCGACAAATCTGTATGAATTTAATTCGGATCACTATATGTACATGTTTGTATAATATTATCTTGCCTACGAATTTGAATAACTGTTTGAAATAAAAAAAACCCTCATTGTTTTTTTTTTTTTTATACATTTCAACAACAACTGTTTTTATCAAAATATATAATTTTTATTTGCATAATCACGGTGGCGGTAGCGGTGACAAGGTGTTAAATTAAATTAAACGTTACATTTTTGTTATATAATATATTGTATTGTATTATTCATCGTTTTAGTGAGAAGTCATCGTCTAACTGCAGCGTTACATAAATAATGCGTGTATATATATATATGAATAAATTTTTTTTTTGTATCATAATGTTCGATTGTTGATAATTTTATTTTTTACGAATAACGAGGGAAAAATATGAAGAAAAATCAAAAGTATGGCCACCTTGAGAGAGAGCTATTCATTAGAACGCTACGTTAAATAGAAGAAAGAGCAGGAACATTTTTCTGAACAAACAACTACCCAAGGAAAAAAAAAAATGTCATGCGTACAAAATTTGATAAACCGCTGTAGATAATAAATACTAGATCTTCGAATTAAACGTTTATGGTAACGCATTGAAATAGTATCATAGAAAAATAAAAAACACGACAATATTATAATATTACTAGCTGTCCCGTGTGGCGTTATCCGTGCCAAAAGAAAGAAATAAATAATCGAGAAATTATAATCATTATTATGCGATTACGGCCCTCGTACGATAAACACCTCATTATTTAATTTTTTTTTTGATTTAACTTAAAGATTACGTGTGAAATGAGGAATGCATTGGTTTTATAACGATATTTATTATTTATTTATATTTTAGATTCTGAGTGGAACGAAGAAGCTTATCGTTTTTGTGAACAACTTTTCTACCAGCAGTTTCGCTCCAAATTTTAATGATTGCAATTTTTCGGAAAGGAAATTCTACTGAAGAGGTACTTTAAAGAAGTAATTTTCTGATTTTTCCAAGAGTTTTTCCAGCAAATGTGAAAAATGAGATAAACTATGGGGAAACTAAGAACAACGTAGGAAAACTGGGAAAATCGGTACAACATTAAACAAATATTTTTAAAGAAAATATATAAAGCCTATTTAATTATTTTACTATAAATTGACATTATTTATTATTATTATTAGTTTATTTACGTCAAACGGCAATTGAACATAGTTATAACAAGGTTATTAGATTATGCGATTATTAATTATTGATTAGATGTAAACAGAAGGGATAAATAAATAAAATAAAATAAAATATATACATCAAAGGCAATAAATAAATAAACAGTGATTAATATTATAATAAATGAAAAATGATGAACAGACAAATTAATGAGGTACGTGGTCTAAGGTATTAATCGTTATTTGCGGATTTTAGCATTCGATGCAATATATGGTTGTGACCATAGGTAGTTTTATGCGTTGGAATAAAGAATCGGGATTGGGATCTGGAGAAATAATTTGGGATTTTGAATTGTGTGAGAGCAAGCATTGTTCACAATGTATCGCTGTCAACTAAACTCCACTCAGGATCGTTTTTTCGTCGTAATCAATGGTATATCGTTGCTTACAGATGTATATTAAATTTCCGTCTATATCCTACCTTCCCAACTTCCCGCCTACACCAGTGGCTACACCCGTCTTTATTATCTTACCTTTTTTAAATTTATTTTGGCTCTAGTTGATACTGATACTTAAAAAGGTCGTTTTTTGAAATGTATTTAAGACAACGAGGAAAAACTAGTTTTTAGATTACGCAAAATTAAAAATAAGGTTGTCATTTTAATAAAGTTGGTAATCGTTTGTATTTATTTTTTGTTTTTATTAAGTTTTTATAATTTTAATCTTTTAATCCCTTTTAAACAATCGCTGTTGTCGTAAAAACGCATATTGTTAAAAAACAATATTATTTACATTGGTAAAGCTCCGTTTAGAATCGTTTTTGTTAATAATGATTAATAGTTGCATACAGTTATAAATTACATTTCTCTCTGTATCCTACCTGCCAAATTTCTCACTTACAACAGTTGTTCACCCGTGATGCGATGTATGTCCGTTGTTCTAGTAGGTAGTAGGTACTACCTTTTTTTATTTTTATTTTATCCGTATCACCAAGGTAACCTATAAACCATCAAAAGTTAAATTACATTTTCGTTTCCAAATACCAATAACGCTGTATCGGTCCGAATTTAGGGGTTACGGGAAATGCCTAAGTAGACTACATATTATTCCCGGACTAGAGTTGCATCTGTGCGATGTTTCAGCTCATTTCTTTCGGTTTGGTTTGGGCGAGAAGTGACAACAAACATACGTCCAAACAAACTTTTGCATTCATAACATACTGTAGATAGTCTAGTAATATTATTACTGAGTGCATATTGTTTATTTTTTTGCACACCGTTGTCACCGTTGTTGATAATAATAGAAATGTTAGTAAATAGTTATTATTGTGTTTTAATCATCGTTGTTGTTTTCTATATAATTGCATCATTCATCAGTAAAATGTTTCGCTCGAAATTTTTCATTTCGCTGTTGGACTTCTATCAATTTGACCGAGAACATTATGTAATTGGACAAAACAAAAATGTAAACCATCACTGTAGTGTTACTGTTATTACCACACCCACCTATTATATAATTTAAATTATTAATGGCCGGTGCATTTCGCACCGAACGTCCAAAATTATTATTTTAATTGCAGATGCTACGCATCAAAGTCAAACGAAACGATTCCAACGGATATCCGTCAAAGAACTTCAGAATTAAATACCGGAGTTATTGGGCGGACCGCATCATGCAACACGAACGTCAATCGATTATTTACGACAGCGTGTCTGAGGGAATAATCGATAAGTAAATAAAATGCATTTTCTGAGTTATGGGTGCATAATGTTTTTTTGCGTGGTCATATTTTATTTGTCAAAATATTTAAACGGACGAAATATTCACTGTTTACCCGTTGTGTATGCGCATTTTAAATAAACGTAATTATTTTTATGTTGTACAGGTAACTAACCAACAGAAATATTATTGCTAAGGCTAAACAAAAAATACAATTTTAAGTTTACGGATACAATGGTTTCATTATTTCAATTTGGTTTTTTTTTTTTTGTTGAAATTCAGATAAATACCTTTATTCGTAGAGACTGGACATTTTGACAGAAAAATTATAGTTGTCTTTTCTAGACGTGGTAATTTTTTTTTCGGTAGATACCTATTATGTTGATAAAATTATTCGAACGCACAGAAATGCTTGAGAAATAGTTGACCGTAATGCAGTAATTTCTTTTGTATGAGTTAAGATCAAATCCCGGCGAAAATCGTAAATATTACAGCCTTGAATATCACGTATAAACGAACTTCGCTCAGAATCGTTTCAATTCATCTAAACTCTAGATAATAATATAACTCGCGTATTTATCTAGATATTTTAAAATATCATATTATAGGTACGCAACACTGAAATTTATGTATTTTATAACGGGTTTTGCCTTTCTCGAATTTATAACCGTAATCCGTGTGATTTAAGGATTTAAATCCTTAAACAAAAATGTCTATGTTGATGCTTAATATAGCTACTTGACTTCGAATATATATATAATGATAAATTGTTTTTTATATTTCACCAGCACAATTCACGGTTTCGACAACATAATCTTAGCGTGTGGGACACATTGTTCGGGCAAAACTTTCAATATTACGGGCTGGAATCACAAAGTACGTCATTCGATATACCTTCTTACCCGCAAAGTCTATGTATATTGTAACAATAGAAGGATTTAAATCTCCAACATATATTGTACGATACTGTTTTGTTTGATTAGGTTTATTGTTCCAGATTTTTATTGATTTTTTTTTTTCGGTTTACTATCCACCTTATATTATGAAAATATATTTTACATAGAGATAGCATGTATACTGTATACTGCAGTTGGAATGTATTTTCATATTTGTTTCCGTTATTATGCAGACGAATGATAATTATATAGAGATAACAATTGTTTTTTTTTTTTTTAATGGTGTTTATATATTAAAATGGAATTTTTCGATTTTGTTTTCGTAATTAGGAACAATGCAAACTTAATTAGAACAATTATTTTTCATATTTTAAATATACTTGAGTATTTATGGTTTCCGATGCACCTGTTATGCTGTAAGCGTACAAACATTCGATTCCCAGCACTGCGCATAGTATTATATTATTTCGATTATTTTGGGATGGTTTCGTAGTTATTTTAACACGTTTTTCATTATTATACCCCTTACTGCTAATACGTCCGTTTTTATTTAATATTCCGAAACGCAATTATCGATTTAGAACTTGGGTAGCACGTTAACCGGAACACTATAACATTATGTTTTTGTGCGCCTACGCGTAAGCTATGTAAAAAGGATCGATATTGTACATTATTACAAAATAATTTGGTTTCATTCGGTCGTAAAACTGTAAATATTGATATCATTAAACACCACCATAAACGCAATCTTTATAGGGTCGTAGTATACTAGTATTATAGGTACTTTTTACAATCGTAATTTTTCTCGATTATAATATTTACAAAAAATAATCAATAAATTATCCTAATCCAATACGCCAAATTTAATATTTTATCCTATCAAAAAATAATCCCAACATAATCTTCACAAAATCTAATATTTCCCCTCTCAAAACGAAAATTATATTTTAATAATTTTTTCCAAAATGACGAATTTGTCGATAACAACGATGTAATTGCTGACCTTACGATCCCAAGGTGATATTATTGGTGATAATTTGAAATTGTAATATATATTTATAGTTTATACACGATGTAGATTATACCTATATCAAATTTTGTCAAATTTTGAATAACACACAATATCAATAATAATAGTTGGTCCACCTATCGTGTAAAGTATGTCCATTTGTTTTGTTTAAATTAAAAAGAAAAAAATATTGTAAACTTAAAATTCTTGTCGGGTACAGTTACCAGCTACGGGATATACTCCTTACATCTTATTATGCGTACATCTATATCATTTAATATCGCTCTTTTTAAAATCATGTCGACTTGGAGGGAGATAATAATATTTTGTCGAATGCTTAAGGAATACAAATAAATACATCTACTATGGTTTTTTAATCGTGTTGCACCTGTTAGGCACCGGCCCACTTTGGGCCAATCCACCTCTAGTCATACCCTCAATCAATAATGCTATTTAAATTTTCAACTGTATTTTGATTGTAACGGAATATTTAAAATAAACAGTACGAGGGGATAATTCCGAGACTGATTGATGACATGATGGAGTTACGAAACGACCGTGGTGGTATTTTGGCAATGAGTTGCACGGAAATCAAAGACAACCGCATGTTCGATCTTTTGCAGGCTGACGACGATTCGGATTTATTGAAGCCGGTTTTGATTAAGGTGAGTTTTAAATATAACCTATCAGGTCAGAAGATCGGATTTTTGTATTCATGGTTTTTTTCTGTTTATTAGTTTCATCTTAGATACGAATTCGTTGGTAGCATATTTATCATTATAATATTATGCATTATATATCGTATATATATATATATGATAGCCGCGCGTATGGTATCGTTGCATTATTTTCGAGTTTTAAAATTATAACATAATAGGTGAATGCATATTATTTTCTTATTTCAAGAAAATAATTACACATTACTAATTTAAATTTTAAATTTGTGTACAGTTTTGTTTATTATGATAGTATAATTAATTTCATGAACATGTAACTACTACGTACATATCTATTATCATGATTGAACAGATAACCGCCCGTAGAAATGCACCCATTATGGAGTCGCACTAGAGCCGTTTGCATCAATGAATCAATGTTAACAATTCTAGCGCTCCATAGCGGCTGCATCTTACGGGTAATAGCCAATTATTAACACTTCGTGGTTTGATCGGACAATTTCATTGTGATGTCATACAACAGATGTGTTGTAAATATTTTTACTGGATTGAATAAATCAATCATTTTAATATTATTGTACAGCAAATGGTCAATTCCAAAAAAATTCAAATTACATTTTTTCACATCATTCAATCGAAAGAAAAAAAAATACGCGTCGATTGTTATCATAACAATAACATTTAAATATATGTTTTCTTCCATGAAATCGGTGATTATTGATACGCAATTGTCGTAACTCCGATAAACAAATAAAATAATATCTACAGAAACCAGCGTATCTCCATATTATCAGTTACAACCACAGATATATAAAAGAACTAGATAGCCGCCTATGGTATTATTACTGTCACCAACAAAATGGCCACCGTCTTTATCTAAGTGGTGAATGTTTATGTTTTAAATGATGTTGTAACTGATAATGCGGGGTATTGTATATATGTTGTCAACATCATTGATAGTCGCAATAGTCGTAACTCCGAGAAGTCTAAAAGAGAATTGGTCGAATCTTCAAAAATGTATCTATTATAGAAAAAACAGACGTAAGTCAAAAAACAAAAAATGTTATTTATTGCATAAACTTGATTATATTACAGCTAAAATATCAACAACTAATGAAGTAATAGGTACTAACAAATATTTGTTTAGTTAAATTAGTTAACTTGAATGAATGAGAAATGTTTTCTTTAATTGTAAAATTTGGTATTTTGAAGTTACGCCGTTTGCTAAATAGGCTAACGATATGTTTGTTCGGTTATCTCTATCTTAGTTTGAGAATAGAAATAATATTAGTACGATTTCTGTTTACCTAACTAAAATTTGTCTAATGGAATTTGTCAATTTAGTTTTTTAGATAAGGTAGGTATAATGGAAACTTAATTAAAACAATTATAGGTAGGTATTTCATATTTTATGATTTTTAATACACCTATACGAGTATTGTATGCGCATAAACGTCCGATTCCTTGTAATTATTTACATTATATATTATATATACATATATATCTATTTTTTAAATAGGGTGATCAATTTACTATAAATTTGCAATTTTTTAAGATGGATTTTAAGTGAATTTTATGTCTGTTGTCAATCGTTACAGAAATGATTTACTATTTAAAATTAGTTTAACACAATTTTCAAGTTTTTAGCCTTTTTCTAACACCTTAAAATAATATACGTTTGTGTTTTTCAAGTAGAAACTCACTCTCATTTTAACCACAAAATCGAACAGAGCATATTTTTCTATACATTTCGATATTATGCATAACACTTATATCAAATTCACCGTATATGGGTTATTCAAATTTAAAGTGAAGGAAAGTTATTAATGCATTATCTAAAAATATATATGAATTTATTAGAACATACGATCACTCTGTATGTAAAAAAAGCGGTGGTAACTTACACGGAATAACGATTTCTCACAGAACGTGTCTAGACATCATGTCGAATCGTCCGGCTCGGCCAAACACACATTTTGGAAAGCCAACGCTAAACGGACGGCTGTCCGAGGGAACCTGCAAGCGCCAGTTCACGTTTACGATTTCATCGTCACCCTTTATTATTGGAGTACGTCAGAACACTACACTCTGCCCGGATCGAAATGCTCAAAGGTATCTGTAATACGCCATTACAAGTAGGTAGGTACTGTATAATTCAAATGTTCGTACGCTGCAATCTGGGATTTTTTTTAATTGACATTTTTTTTTTTTTTTAAATACTTTTGTCTGTCGGCCGTTTAAAACTACCGGTCAGTTATTATTATTATATAATGTCGGTAATTTAGTCGGTTTTTACGTTAGGTTCAAATCGCGGAGCTGGCCGGCGTGGGTCGGGACAGTATGAAACCGTTAAAACATCAAATCCAAGCGAATCGCGCGGCGATGGAGTTGAGCCAACTATTAGAACACATCGTAAAAGTAAACGCCAAAGACGACAAACGCAACTCGATAAAACATATGAAAAGTTCGTCCACATTGACGATGTTGAAATATTTTCATGATTCTCTTTTGAAACAATACACCACGCTTAGGTGAGTTAAAAATATACATATACAAGTATATGTATAAATCCAAAAATCGATTATTTTTTATCGTGTATCGTAAAAAATATTTGTAAAAATAACTGGAGTGCACACTATAATATATTATTATGCAGATAGGCAGGTATTATAGATACCAAAAAATAAATAAAAAAATCAATAAACTCGCAGTCGTTTTGAAGTTTAATTCTCCGTGTCATTTTATAGTTTTATACGCTGTTGTATAAATTTCTTATTTAAACTTTGTTCGATTTTTTTTTTTACATCAATGACGTGTTCCAATGGTTTTATTTTTAGAAACTTTTTTTATTTACGACACGGTATAGATATCTTATTACGACGGGTGGAGCGAAAAATATTAGCAATTTCATATAAATCGTTTATTCGAATGCATTATATTATTATTACTACGATTTACGAGTAGGCACTATGTTTATCGAATCTTTCATAACAAATGAAAAAATACGGACAAATATAGATTTATCAAAAAAAAAAAAAAAATTCTTTAGTATTGCCACTGGCCGTAACTATTTTTTAATCAATGTGTTTTCCCCCCGTAGGGTCATATGCCACATTAGACCCGAGTTGGAGCTTTTGAACACAAATATATCAGTTTTAGAGTTTGGCAAATCTTTACGCAGATTATCGACTAGTACAGTAGACGTGCCCGTTTCGAGTCCAGAATCGATGCAATTATATGCAAGTTTTGTTAATATTTAAATTCGCAAATTTATTGTAAATGAAATATGCGTGTGATATATTCTGTGTTATAGATACAAACGGAACATTTGGCGCACGAACTGCATTTATGCGGACGTATGCAAGGTCAAAGAAGTATGGGCACCATGACTGCCAAGCGATACGAACGTCTGAGAAATAGTGTCTTGAATTTTTTGAAATCCGAGACAGACGATATAGTTTTGGCTAAAAGAAATTTCGTGGACATTTTTACTCTTTTGTCCGTGCTCAGAGAATACCACGACAAAATAACGTATATTGACTTAAAATATAATTTTTAGTTTTATTACAAACATCATTACGACGCTGATCGGTATTATTGGTTTTATAGAAATGAAGAAAACAACGAAAAAACTCGCAACACCCTTAAATTCGGTAAAATTGTACATGATTACACTTATTTATAGCATTACGAGTATGTGTGATTATGAGTTGTGCCTATTCGGCGTGTGAAATTTATTTACTTATTTAATACAGTGGCGTCGATCTTACTCAAAACAAATGGGGTAATTTCCTCGGAATATTTTCTCAACGGTTGTGGCGGTTGTAGAGGGTTATTAGTGGTCTGTCTGATGATATTTTAAGTCGTCTGTGTCTATTTTTTTTTTAAAAAAAACTAGTAAAATTAAAAGTTATCAAAAAAAGTAACTTATAACGCTGATAAACAAGTTATCGCTCAGCTTTGAATTTAGTCTTTAGTTTTTGGTCGGTATCTTTCAGCATTTATAGAATGGAAAGATAGTTTTATTAAAGAATTTTCGGTTTTGGTGTTTCGGACACACATACCTATAGTCGAAAATTCGACATTTTTTTTGAGGTACGCGGATGGGTAGGTGGTATGTTATCTGTATTTCCTCCGCAGAACATCAAATACAGATCAGCGCTACACGAGTACTTACCTATACGTCTTATGAGTAGGTACATCGTTTTCACCTCGTCGTTTGTCCATTTAGTATCAGAGTTAATATATTCTATAAAATTCTTCAAGTATATAAGTATGCGCGTTGCGTGAAAAAAAAGGTTTATTTTAACTCGTTGTTACAGTTTATGCGGAGATGTATTTTCTATGGCTAACATGTACGCATATTATATTGTGATATCGGTACGAGTTCGTCATAATATTAGTATTATTAAAGTGTACGGCGTACAGTAAGCTATAGAATGTCATCGTCATTAATTCATTTTATTCCGAGTAAGTAAAATCTAAACTTTTTAACGAAGGATTAGTTTATACATATATAACGAGAGGGAACGAAGGAACTTTGTTTCCCTTACTATGGAAATCTTTATTTATATATTATAGTACACTTTATATTAAGAGTAGGTACCTGTGTACAATTTTTATAAACTCGGGATAAACTGATTTACCAGTATTTTTTTCTTCTTTCTTTCTTATTTTTTAGGACATTTTAAAAACTTTTATTCGTAATTTCATAATGCAGGTATTCTAAAACGTGGATTGAATAAATATTATAGGGATTTACTTTTTCTCTGAACTACGACGCGTTTTTAATGCGAGGTTTATTTAATCAGCATGTATATTATTGGATATTAAAAATAACCTTAAAAATTAAAAATTGTATCGTAAATGAATTCCAAGAAAAATCAACCTTATTTTTAATCATAATTATTGAATTGAAATTCATGATCTGTATTTTTTTTTTCTGAAAATACGTAACATAAATGAATCAACGAGACTCGATTTGTTATTTTTTTATACCATTGGTAATTGTTTATCTTGCTGCTTAGACAGTAATAATATTATTTTTTTTTTATACTATTACTCATTCAATTTGAATAATCTCGACCTTGACCTGAAATATCGGTATTCAAATTTCTCCGTCTACGTTGATGATGTGTATGTGTGTACACGGAATTGAAATAAATTTGACATTTTAAACTTGAATATGCAGTTTGATCGTGAAAACCAAACGATTTAAATCGGTATAGGTCACGTGTTCTTATTGAGATAATATTTGCAGTTTTATACTCTCTGTCAATATTTTGTCAAAAACACCTAAAATTTGACATAAATTGAGGCGTTTCCTGTGATTCTGTTTTAAATATGTTAAAATGAGTGTGTTTATAAATAAATCTACTTTGCACAGTTCAAAACATAATTTTCATATTAACATTTTTTTACTCAATTTTTTACCGTTGAAAATTGATTAATGTACCCAAATTTCAAACGATTTACTCTCGTAAATAATGCAATAAAATTTAAAATGTGCTACAACTAAATAAAAGTAAACTTGTTTATGAATTCAAACGTGTTTTCGTTTTAGATTCTGAGTGGTGCGAAGAAGCTCAAAGTTTTACAAAGATGTTTATTGTTATTTTTTTTTATCCGTGAACAACTTTTCTATCGGAAGACTAGCTTAGATTTTTAAGTGTAGCACCTTTTTTGAAAGGAAATCGGTGTGAATAGGTACTTTAAGGAGGTAATTTTTTGATTATCTTAAGAGTATTCTCATCAAATGCGAAAAACTGAATAAAAAAGAGAACACGTACGAAATATATTACTTAAATATTACGATATTTTTCCTGTGTACGACTTATCTACCAGAAATTATGCTCCAACTTATGATGATAGCAATATTTCTAAAAGAAAATTTAAATAGAAAGTTATTTTAGGGAGGCCATTTTTTGATTTTCTCAGGAGTTTTCTCATTAAATTTAAAAAAACTGAAGTATAAATACGAAGGAAAAATATAGAATAACTAGGAAAATCGATAAAACATTTAAACTAATATTATTAAAGAAAATATATAAAACCTATTTAATTATTTTACTTTAGTATATATTGTTGATAAAGCATCACTATCAACTGAACTGTGCTCAGACAGGGGTTTATCGTTGCTTACAGATATAAATTAAATCACCTATAACAGTGGCTGCACCCATCTCTATTATCTTAAGACGTCTTTTTTAAATTGTAGTATCTATATGAACAGGTGTTCATTATATGACTACTTATGTATACATAAATTCAAATTTCTTTACTCTTTCAGTCGAAAAAATCTAAACGCACGGTACACATTTTATCGTTTAAAACGAAACCTACTCGTATATCCAAACTACTATGTATAGGTATTATGAAGAAAGTTAGGTTAGTGGGTATTGGATAGGTAAATAAATTAATAATAATATAGCCTGCCCATAGGGCTGCACCTAGTTATTTGATTTCAATAATAATTTTCGAGCAGATTGAATTATAAATTAATTACAGAAATAAATAAATTAAAAAGTGATAGTTTTCGTTCGACCTGTGAAGTATCCGCACAATAGGACATAATTTCCAATTTATACGTTTCCCTCCTCGGCTATACTATTAGAACATATCATTATATTATAACAGTTAAACACTCCGTGATAGCATTTCCGTTTGGTGTGCGTGTTTGCGTGTTCAATCGGTATGCACACGTATTATAAAATATAATGATATTATTGATTTTCTAGCGCCTTTCCTCTTGAAAAGTTTATTGGTGGACAAGAATGCGGTCAAACAAACGGTAAATATTACGAACGTCGACACGGAACGCTGTTATTAAAAGCTGATTAATATTATCATTGTTATTATATGCGCAGACGGAAAAGGTCCAACAGGCGGTAAATCAAACGCTGCCGGTGTCGACGACCGGACCGGAATATTGGGAAGCATTTGTCGCGGAAAATCCGTCGGATTTCTTCGAATACGAACAAATGTGTGCCGAGATTCGCGACGCGCAAAGGTTAATTAAAAAACAAAACAAAACCGAGACCCGAAAACAAATAAAACAATCGCGAGACGGTACCATGGCGTAAACTCGATTGCGGTATAATTTTGATAACCTCCCAGTCCCTCATCACCTGTATATATATATATATGTACTACGGGTTTCACCGTTTCAAAAACTTACTCACAAATATATATAAACCGGCGTCGAAAGTTTTTCAATTTGTGAAATTGAATCCCCGCGGGAAAGATGCAGACGCAATATAAAAATAATTATTATCATTACCTTAAAAACGAAAACGCGCGCATCGTTTTTCCGAACAGCGGATATACACGCCGCCAGTGGCGTGGCTAAGGGATTTTCGATACGCGCAGTAGGCGTCACGGTCGAAATTACAGGGCGAACGGGTGCAGGTTGGTATGGAGAACATCAACGCTAGGCATGCGGTATAAACGGATTAATGGTGTTTACCCGATAGTGAACCGTACCGAATATTAAGTAGATAAACGTAAGTAAAGGGACTTTTCGATGAAAGACCCATAAAGATGGCCTGTTACCAACTATTGAATCGGACCAATCTGTATACTATCTAACAACGCATTTTAGCCAGGCCATTGCCATTAAAACCGGCAATACACAATTTGGTGTCCAAATCTGTTCACACCACTATAGGCGCGTGGTGAATAATTAGGCTGAGGCATTTTTGAGACCACGAGTGTATCAAGCATCGTTACTTATGTAGGTACTTATAATTGTTTTCCTTGAACTTGAATGCATTTGTCCAAGTTGATAGCTAACAAAAGTAAAATAATATAGGGGAGAGCACTTTATGTAGGGGTGAGGTGGGTGCTCAAATATAATACCTATTATATTGTGCATACATGTTCAATACGCCATTGCTCGTCGGCCACGAAGATTCACCACAAATTATTATTAGGAAACGACTTTGTAAAAATATTTTATGTAAAGTCCTACCCCGGAGTACTTGCAGCAGTATTTTATATCTAGCCGTTTATTTTCGGTCAAAAAGCTCGCGCCGCAAGCGATTTTTATCGACGGCAGTAACTGCACATTCGCGATACAAGCGAAGATAGTTTTTTATTTTTTTTTTTTTTTTAAATTTACATAATCTCGTTATATTGTAAATCCCGTATATTTTACGAGTATAGGTTCGGAGTTTTTTTTTTTTATTTTTATTTGTTTTTCATTTACCCACAGTCGCCGTCATCCATATTATATAGAAACTGCAGGATTCAGGATTGATAGAGAAAAAAAAAATACACCATCGTTTTCCGTTCGCGATAATTCCCCGACTTCGGATACGTGTTCGCGAATATGTATTTTTAATACGTACACTACTTATTATCTAACGTATAAACAATTATCTATATTATAAATTGTCCGGTCATCGTACTGGTAAACGAATTTGTTGTAACGGTTATGCAACGACGTTGCATAATGTTTTGATAATAATATTATCGTAACTATTATAGTTACGGAATGAATTCTCGTATTATTTCGCGCCGAACAGTACCCCAGTGCACACCAACATAAATTCTAACCGCGATGTGCGCGTGATATGCATTTCTATTTTAACCATATTCTAGGTCGATATCGGGAATAATCATGTTTGAATTTTTTTTTTTTTTAAATCTATATATCATTATATTACGAACGCGGAACTATTTAAAATACGCGGATTTAAATTAACGAGCACGATGTATGGATGCACGCTGTTCGAAATATTCCATTTTTATATTTGTGTAATAATTAATACATTTCCGGGAGATTATGAACAGTACTTAACCTATACTTACTTTTAAATTCGTATCGAGTACAGTTGTTTGTTATATAACATCAGCAACGTGGAATGTAATATCGGATTTACTATGACGCGGGCGATTTTCTTTTAATTTTGTATGGACAACCGATCCATTAGGATCGGTTGTTAAGGCTATTAAGCCCTAACCAGAAATTTTGCTACGATCAAGACAAGAGATCTGTTTTGTAGAATTTGAGATCTAGTTGCTCATTGTGGAGGTTATTTTTTGATTTTCCTTTTAGTATTTTTATTAAAGCTGTAGAAAACCGAGAAAAAGAAGAAAAAACAAAAAAGTTTACAAAAAAAATTGTTTTAGATTCTAAGCGGAGCAAAGAAGCTTAGGTTTTTAAAGATGTTTATTATTATTATTTTTCTTATCTGTAGATAACTTTTTTACTAAAATTCTTGCTCCGATTTTTGAGTGTGGTACCTTTTCTGAAAAGAAATCGATGTGGGGAGGAACTTTAAGGAGGTAATTTTTCGATTTTCCTAAGAGTTCTCCCAGAACATGTGAAAAACCGATTAAAACATGGGAAAATCAGAAAAAGATTTAGGAAAAATGAAAAAATCGGACAGTATTAAACAAATATTATTAAAGTAAATATATAATGTCTATTTAATTATTTTACTATAATGTGACATAATATAAATTGTTGACAAAGCATCACTGTCAACTGAACTCTGCTCAGAATCGTTTTTTCATTACCAATGGTTTATCGTTGCTTACAGACATATTTTTAATTATCTATAACAGTGGCTGCGTCCATTTTCATTATCCTAGGCATTTTCAGTAATATATTTCTTATATTTTTTAGTTCTTTTTTTTGGGTTTTCAAATTTAATGAGAAAACCCCCGAGAAGATCGAAAAATGACTTGAATCTGAACAAGTCTTTTGGTAAAAAAAATGGGTACAGATAAAAAAAAAAATAAACATCTTTGTAAAACAATAAACTTCTTCGCTCCACTCAGAATCTAAAATATGTTTACCCGAACTTTGCTCGTATTTTTTCGTGAGCAATGATTTATCGTTATTGAAAAAAAAATTAGTTTCCTGGTGATTGCGCCAAGGAATTTAATTATTGTAATAATGTTACCTACCCATGTATAATAATCTGCAAACATCATTGTACACGTGTCACGTATTTTTTTTTTTTTTTAGATTGTTCGAAATCGATTCGAAAGAAATATTGAAGTATCAAGAAAATGTATTACAATTGAGAGATAAGATGGACAAATTTCGAAGTAAACTATGATAATTATTTCACACCCGGTATAATATGATTCAAAACTAATTACTAATTATTATTGTTACCGTGTGTAACCCCTAAGGGCTACGTTATCTTAGCGGAATCGAAGAATACGAGGCAAGTACAGGCAATGTAATTGTTCCGGACAAAGAGAAGCTCATGTTCCAAAATATAAAACGAGCCGACGCAGAATTGACAAAAGTCAACGAGAATTTCGTTCAGAAGCTTAACCATTTGAATCGAATTTCGGCCGAACATATCAAAATGAACATGGATATACACTCGCGGTTTACGGTACAATGTTTTTAATACACGCGAAGATATTTTTTATTAATCTACTAAAATAACATTGCTGTGTACACATACAAATGTCGTATTTTGTATGTACCTACACTCATAATAATTATACAAATCAAAACAATATCCTAATAGCATGATGTCACGTGACACGGAAAACATGATATTATAATATTAATTTTCGTTCAAATTTTCATTTTATATATTTGTTTCCGTATTATTTATGCTGTAAATAAATACATTTTATGGAATGCATGTAAATGCATTATGAATTTAAGGATGGGCGATTTTTTACCTTGATATTTCATTATTTTAAAATGATAATTGATAACATGGTAATCACGTCATGGTTAAATAGATTAGATCAAAATTCTAAGCGAAGCAAAGAATGTATTGGTTTCACAATGATGTTTATTTTTTTTTTTATTTGAACACTTTTTCTATCAAAAAGTTTACTCCGATTATCAAATATAGCACCTTTTCCGAAAGGAAATATTCTCTAGGTGGTAATTTACAGAGGTCATTTTTTGAAATTCTCATTTATATTTGCGATAATGAGGAAATACTGGTTTTTTTAGGTTAAAAAGGATTGAAAGATTAGAAATAAAGTTGTTAACAACCGTTTTTATTTATTTTTTTGTTATTATTAAGTTTTTATTATTTTAATATTTTTTAAACAGTCATTGTTGTCATGGAAACGCATATTGTTGAACAAGGTAGTTAAATAGATTCAAATTAAACTATAATGTACATTGTATACAATTAATTAAAATAAAAACAAAAACACACAAACTCCGCTCAGAATAGTTTTTTTCGTGAGCAATAGTTTATCGTTGCTTACAGATATGTATTAAATTGTCTTCTGTAACCTACCTTTCAAACTTCTCATCTACAGTGACTGTACCCTCGTGCGAAGTATGTCCGCCTTTTTTTAAATTTTATTACATATTTTTACATCTAAATTTTTAATAGTGCATTTTTATAATAATATGAAGCATATTAATGATTAATGTAACAATATTAATAGTTTGTTTTGATTTTTAAATATGGGTACTGAGTACTGAAATAAAACTAATATTGAGTAATCAATTTTAAATATTTGGTATTGCCAATCTCTACTTCTAAAAACGATATAATTTTGTAAAAATAATACATATTTTATTTTGGAAAGAGATCGCCTAGAAATTTTTGGAGGTTACGATTATTATTTTAGCTTTAGCTTTTCGTGGTAATCGTTCCTTATACATTTTAGTTTTATCCCTCGTTTATGTAAAATTTGCATTGCCATTTTAAATGCTGGTACCTCACCTGTAATATGTTCACGCTTCTAAGGTTGAGATAAATTGAGATAAACGAATCTCTATAGTTAGTACGTAAATTGTAAGTGTTTAACTGTTCAGGTTTTTAGAGGTGCAGAGTATTAAATTTGTCGAGTACTTATATTGAGTTATAATTAATACATTAGTTTATTTTGCACCTTGATACCTAGTTAATAGTAATTATTTTATTACCAACACTTTGCGTGTGCACTGTGTAGTAATGACGGGAGTATACAATTTAGTTGTAATTCATTGATACATTATAAATTATTTTTTCATCGACTTCTACGAATTTTAATAAAATTTTTAAAACTATACTTTATTATTGTACTGGAAACACAAATCTAGAGTTGTAATGAATAGGTACGTTGAATATTTTTAGTACAGGAAAAATCGAATTTTGTAATAGAGATATGACATTTGATTATTTTATGGAAAATGTACTTTTACAGATCGTGTTACTTTGCGTAGTATTGTGGGAATTGTCGAATTTTAAACTGTACCTGCATTCCACTTGAGCAATTCACAACACATGTTCGGGCGGTGTTGAAATCTGAAACTACTGTCGCATATCTTAACACTTCATATAGGCTGCCCGTAATACACGCGTAGGGAATATTCTTTAATTATTTCACTATTACGGCGGAATTTCATGATCAGATTCTGACTAAATTTATTTGTGATCACCTGTGAAATACACTATTTCAGACAAAAAAAATGTTTTCCAAATTGACGCATACTAAAATAATTATGCACAATTATGCATACATAATTACGTACATACATAATCTCGTTCTTTTTTGAAATTAAAAGTAAAAAGCTGTCCGTCCTCCACTTCTTTTCAATAATTTTGATCAATGTAATATGTATAGTTTTTGATGAAAATTTTGTTAGTCATAATGTACAGTATAAATACATATACATACATATACCTATATACATATTACCTAATAGATATTTAATATTTTAACTTTTTTTTTTTTGCAGAATTTTCAGAATAAAAGTAATATAAAAAGTTCAGAAGAAATGGGAGAGAAACTGAAAGTCTGAAAAAATTCTAAATGAAAAGAAATCTGATAATTCAACATTTTTTTTTTTAAACCGGTCTTTGTATAGATAATTTTAAACAATATAATTGATGTTAATTTATTTAACAAATTAATTATAATACACATTATATATATTCATTAGATTACACACAATGTTAATAGTTTTTATTTATTAACAATATTAGAAATATATTTTGAATACTTTTATTTGAGAATTTAAAATGATCATTCGTGCACTGTGCGTGACGGTGGCATTTAAGTGCGTTTCTCTACAATCACTCTACGTCTACAAAACGAAAAATTTTAAAATAGAATATCTTGTCAACGGGTTGATAGGAATTTAAATTTTCAAACATCAAAACGTTTTTAAAATAGAACAAGTAAAACTTCATTTATTTATGGAATTTGTAATTTATATTCCTATATGAAAATCAAAATAGATATCAGTGGTTTCACCTTCAAAAAATAAGGGGGATCAAAAATAACATTTGTATAACTACTTTAAGGCAGTTTATTTTTAAAATTTTAAGTTAGCACTTGATATAGAGATAACGAGTATCTTTAATTATAATTCTTGACTTTAGTTGATCACCCTGTATATGGTATCCTGTATATCCTTTCAAAATGTCCATATATAGTAGTCTACCCGCGGTGTAAAATACCCATGTCCGATTCTTTTGTAAAAATTGATCTAGGCTTGACAAAAATATTGCTTAACTTAATTAAAGGCACTACTCAAAGACTATATAAATATTTATTTAGATTAAACAATATTCTAACTCTTGGTTATCAATGTTTCAAATATACCTACACCAATTATTTACTACGGTTATGATTGACTATTTACTAATATTGGTTATGTATATAGGCACCCGGAGGGGGGGTGGTTAGACGGGGAATCTGCCCTCCCTAGACTTCAAAATTTCAAATATAATTTTATTTTAAGTGCTTTTTGGCTATTGATTTTATTATGCACCTCCTAGATACATTTCCTGTGGGTGCCCATGACTATGTTATGTATATCATTTAAAATTATGAAAACTCAATGTTTTGATTATCTAATTTATGCCTTAATCTGTTGTTTGGTAAATTTAACATTTTTTTCAGAACTATTCCAATTTTCTTTTTGTTCTACATTGTAAGTAATACGTCATATCGTAACAGTATAAATATTTTTTTGGTGAGTATATTTTTACAACACAACTCAGGGAATTCGTATTTTATGTAACGATAAAAATATGTTTATTGTTTTTGTTTTAAAAATATACTTAAACAAATATTGTAAAAATCTCATTTCATGTTACTTTACTAAATATTATCATTGTTTGTTTATTTATTCTTGTTGTAGTGTGATATTATCAGGTGAAAACAATTGAAATTCGCATAGACCGATTATCGAACAATTATTATGAATTCTAGAATTATTATTGTGATGTAGAAACGAAAATGAAACCATGTTTAATACTTTTAATTATAATTATTATAAGGGCTTATTCATTTTATTATTGAAACCCGTCGGTTTTAACAATAAACCCGTCAGTTGTCTTTAGCCTAAAATCTTCAAATTTCTTTCCCAAGAGCGTTATCCCTAGGTAGCTCTATGTTTTTTCTTCATCCCCGTTCTTCGGTTATAATAATACCTTTACTGGATAAAAAAAACGTAATGTTTTTACAATGAATTAACATTGTTTACGATAATATAGTATCAAGTAATCATGCATATATCCGGTTACATATGTAACAAATGTATCACTTTTAATAGGTAACTACGGGACTAGTATTCAATCTTAATGTCTGCCAATATGAATAGTAAATAAACTTGTTAATCACCGAATTTTGTTTAAAATTTATTTTTACAAATTATAGCGCCGATTGATTTTACGCATTAATAATATAATAATACGTCCTGACTGACTGATTCATCATCGCCTAGCCCAAACCGCTGGATTGATCGGGCTGAAATTCAGCACACAGATAGCTATTATGACGTAGGTATCCACTAAGAAAGACAATTTTTGAAAATTCAACCTCTAAGGGTGTAAAATAGGGGGTTTTCAGGTATATTTGGTACGAATATCTAGTTGCTTAATTATTTATTTTTGTTTTTTAAAGGGTCACCTCGGTTGCCACGGAAAAGAAAACTATTATAATTGAAATTTCACAATAGAACACATTTGATCCTACCGAAGGTGGACTACTCACTTTTCACCTATTTATTTTCATTCAATTCTGACACGTACAAAACCAAAAATGAATATGGGTAAAATAATAATAATACCAATTTGCACGGGTAATGCCGGGCGCGGGACAGCTAGTTAAATTCATGTCAGATCATATCAATAGTACATATATTCTTTTTGAGTTTTTTTAAGTTTTGACAGGAGGAATAACACTGCAGCTTAGATGTATACATATAATTTGCCGAAATAAAGTAATTTGTCTAAGTTAAATTGCCTTTTAAACTTTCACTTAAAAGTAATAAGTCATTATATAAAAGAATATATTACAATTTACATACTTTGAAAACTTTGATTCTATTTGTGAGTTGGCGTGTGTATAATGTTTATGTAAATTATAGTGTTAGAATAATTATTAGTTAATGGTAATTCGTAATATTATTATTATTTGTGTTTCACGAGTTTTG